GTCTCTTACTTCTCCGGTAGAACACCTAACTAATAATGTGATTGATTATAGGGTAATTTTTTAGTTTGCCCCCCACATTTTAGTTGATATTGGACTTTGCATCCTATTTTTAAAATTATTAGACTTTGCACCTTATTTACAACATTTCGTGAAGAAATATTAATGAATGAGGTGCAAAGGCAAAGACATTTTAGAGGAAATAGGGTGCAAATTCTAAGAGTTTGAAAATTAGGTGCAAAGTCCATTATCACCCAAAAACAGGGTGCGAAGTCAAAATATACCTTGATTATATATAACCATCCAAAAGAAAAAATTGAAGTTATTTTGATAATTACACATATTTTAGGAAACACATCTTATCTTATCATTTTTGTGTACTCCGTATATCTTATCTCTATTTTATCTTATTTTTTTTCAATTAAACCTTATCTTTTAATTTTTATTTTTCTTTTGAATCCAAATGTACTAAATCAATTCATGTTACCCGATCCAAAATCTTTTGGAATTAAGTCTGAAATGTTGTTGTTTTGTTTTCTAGGAAACATATTACTTTCAAGTCTCAACTAAGACAACAAATAAACATTGTGGAATATAAACATTGAAATGTCATTTAAATAAGAACACACACAAATGTTAGAATTATCCCAACTAATTCAAAAATTTTAAAATAGTCACTAACGTGGTCTCTTCTTCCTTTTTAAAATTACTTTTAAACATTTTAGTATCCATGAGCACAAATCGTTTGAACTGAACTGTCATTTTACACGCATCTTTTCAACTCCAAAAAAACTACACTCCTGAACGAAATTTTATCACAACGCACGCCCCATTTAGTTTAGCCCCTTTTATTTCAATCATATTCACATTTTTAGTCACTGGTTTTCATGTTCATATGTAGCAATTAGGGGGGAAATCTTAAAAAAAAACAGTTGTAGTGTTCTAACAAGTTGGTCTTATATTAAAATAGATGTTTTTCATTTCTATTAGATAAATGGTTTTAAAAGAAAAATCAAAGAATTTAGAGGATTTGTTTAACGCTCAATATTGTTACCCAATAAATGTAGAGTAGTACCAGACTACCGGGAAAGATCCTAGCACTTGTCTCTTGTCACATGTTTACGAAGGGAAAAATTGCCTACGTACTGATAATACATTTGAGAAAGTCATCTCTTTTTTATCTAAAAAACCTATAGGGTGAATGAAGGTAAGGTTCTTTTGGACCTGAAAAATGTGTTGGTGTCATCACATGCTAAAATGAGCTTGAAACCTACGCATACACTATTGTACTCTAATCAATTTAATATCTTTATACCAAAAAGATCCCCAACTTTCCGTTAGACTTAACTCGCCGGATAAAACTCTCCGCTTCCTGGTCATCTCCGTTGAAAGGCTTTATATTAAAGTTAATCAGCCTTAATAAAGATTAGAAGAGTAGGTAACGATTCACCTGATTCTTTTCATCTTTTACGGAGTATTATTTTTTAATTCGTTTTTTTAAACCAAGTTCTTAATTAATGGATGGTATTCATCATTCAATGTAGTTTAAGTATAAAATCTTCTCATGGGCATTTTTCGACTTGTCAGGCCTTTTCACTAAACACGTAGAACCCGTTTGATAACACTGAAATTGGTTGAATTGACTTATTCTTCTGAAATTTTGACTGAAGTGACTCTATTGACTAATTCTGCTGATTTATGAAAAAAATATTTAAAACATTTTTTATAATCAAATAAATAAAAAATTGTATGAAAATATCTAAAACGATTCTCTATAATAACTTCGGTCAATATAGCTAGAAAAATAACTTCAACCTTGTTTTTTTACGCACAATGCGAGATTGAGTTGATGCTCAATATTATGTATGTAATGCAAATAATAACACATTTTGAGCCCGTTTGGTAGCACCAAAATCGGTTGTTTTGGCTGATTCTGCTGAAATTTATGAAGTTCTGGTTGAAGTGACTGCATTGGCTAATTTTGCTGATTTAAGAAAAAACTATTTTTAAAATATATTTTATTAATAAAATAAAGAAATAATTATATGCAAAAATAGCTAAAATGGTCATCTACAGTAGCTTCAGCCAATACAGCCAGAAAAGTAACTCCAACCTTACTTTTTCTGCTTATTACACAATTCAGCGCGCGAAAGCAAAAGTTACGTGTTTGGTGAAAAAGTTGTCTGATAAGCCAAAAAACAGTGTTGCCAAACGGCCTCTTTCTAGATTGACGTTTTTGACACTTTAATCCGTTGAATTATGTGCACATGCACTTTGGAACATTTAAAACTAAATTTGGGTATCATACTTTTGAAAAAAAATGAGTAGGCACATAAATACATAGATTAAAAAGAGCATAATCGTGGTAAACTATAACAACCAATTTTGGTAGACAAAAACAAAAGAGAAAAATAATAAAAATACCCCAAACTTTGAAGGGGTGTGAGGTAAGCACCCCAAACTTGCATTTGTAATTTAAATAGCCCAAACTTTATATAAAGTGTTATTTTTGCACAATTTTCATGTATTATTTCGTTCAAAATGTAAATTTAATTTATGTGGTTAATTGCCTAATTTAAAATAAAAAAGTAAAAGTGTTGCAATTATATAAATTGGGGGTAATGTTATTTATTTCGCAAAGAAAGTTTAGAATGCTAATTGTGCATTCATGCATTCTAAAATATTTTAAATTATGCAATTAACACTATAAATTTACATTTTTGAAAGAAGTAATACTTAACTATGGTGCTAAAATAACTTTTTATTTAAAGTTTGGGGTATTTAAATTACATATGCAAGTTTGGGGTGCTCATCTCACACCCCTTCAAAGTTCGGGTTATTTTAATTATTTTCCCCAAAACAAAATTAAAGCATAGTATGTGATGAATTATACTATCCAAGCTAAGTGCTAAAGACTAAAAAATAAAGTTCCCTACCACTGTGTGACTAAGTTACGTTTGATATGATCAAGGTAGCTGTTATCATGTTGTATAGGCGCAAAATAAAAAGTTAGAGCCCTGTTTGGTGATCATGTTTTTTTAGTTTATAAGGCTTATCAGTCAGCCTCTTCCTCAAACATGTAATATAAAATGTAGTCACACAAAGGTTGTTTATTATTCTTCAACACTTAGGTTGGTTAATATAATTTATCACAAAGTATGCTTTAATTTTGTTTTTTTGTGTACTAAAATTGGTTGTTATAGTTTACCACAATTATGTTCTTTTTAATCTATGTATTTATGTGCCTACTCGTTTGTATCTTCAAAGTATGCTACCTAAATTTATTTTTAAATGTTTCAAAGTGCATGTGTACATTATTCAACGGATTAAAGTGTCGAAAACGTCAATCTAGAAAATATGTTAATATTTACATTATACACGGAGTATAAATATTGGGCATAAACTCAATCGCATCGCGCGTAAAAAAAAACTAGTACATATTCATACATGCCGATGTATCCTGCTCCTTGACACATTTTTCTATTTCGATGATTATTATTTCACTTAACTATTCACACTTGGAAATTTAAGTCACTTAAACATTGTTGTTTTTTAACGCCAATTGTTTTTAGAAAACCATAATTAATTACACAAAAACCATGACTAATAAATTTTGGACGAATGTGTTCAAGCCCAAAAGCAAAATGGAAACTCATTCTAAAAGAAGGGAATGAATGTGATGAGAAGCTCAGTCCACAAGGAACATCCTCATAAGTTTCCATCACTGCATCAATGCATCACAAGTCACAACTATCAAAAATAGAGGGAGAAGGCAAAAATGCTAACTTCTTTGTATATTTTTATTATAGTATTTGCAAAATCAAAGGTTAAGTATGAGTGTCTTCATAAATTCTATATTGACTTTTTTTTATTAATCGTCAATATTTTGAGTACAATCACACCAAAAAGAAATGTTATATTCCGTAATTAGTATGTTGTTAAGATGGATATTTTGATAAGCAATATGCAATGGTAATTCCTACTTATTGCCTAATATACATAAAGATAAATGCACATTCTCTTTTCCACTACAATCTTACGGAACAAAAATTTTAAATTATGAATTTGACCACAAAAAAAGAATATAATCACACCCCAAACTTTGAAGGGGTGTGAGGTAAGCACCCCAAACTTGCATTTGTAATTTAAATAGCCCAAACTTGAAGGGGTGCTTACCTCACACCCCTTCAAAGTTTGGGAAATTTTTTATTAGTATCCAAGCACTAAAAAACTACCCCCTCCAGCCCAATACAAATGTCCCATTTTTCCTTTTCCTTCCGTCCCACTAATTTTGTCACATACCTTATTTGGCAACATTTTGTAATAACATTTTTCATTTTTACTTTATTTTCGTTTTATCATCAAGTCATTATCAATCACATAATTCTATTTTTCTTAAAAGTCACAATCACGCATTTGTCCCAATATTAGGGGGACATGAGTAGTAAAAAATTGAAATGTGGTAAATTCTACTTCCACTTTTTTACTTATACATTACAGATACACAGAGTTGTGTAACTCGTTAGAAATGGAAACAATTTGGAAGTATAACTTACTCCGTATTTCCTTATTCCAACATCACAAACCACAAAAAATTGCTTTAACCAGTAGAATGTATGAATATGTTCGTTTTAAAAAAAATCAATTTGGCTATTTGATTCCTAATTTTTGCATAATCGTATAATTTAGCATCTATTCTTCCTCCAAATTTTGGAATATCACATCACTCATGAATAAAATACCATTTTACTTATCGATTTACACATTCTATGCAAGAAAGAAATTTCCACATTTATATAAGTCAAATTAATTAAACACGTGTAATAAATGACCTTTCTACATTGGGCACAACTCACACATAGTGCGTATGCCACTAGTAATAGTGCGTATGCCACTAGTAATATACATAAGCTATACTCCGTATAATTTATTACAGTAATATAGTTGCAGTAACTTTACTAATTTAATATAAAAAAGATTTACGAAAAACGATGCTAATTGATGTTTTTGTTTTTAAATCAGGACCATTTTTTTTTTTTTTTGGAAAAAACCAGCTTAATTATCATTAATAAGGTCAAAAGATAGAGCCTTCATAATACAACTCGGGGGTGAATTCACCCAAAACTGACTATCAGACATAGAACAGGCTGCCTTAGCTAACATATGGGCAACCCTGTTCGCTGACCGTCGAATGAAAGAAAAAGAAAGATTATTAAATCCCGAGCTAATTTCGCGTATGTCTTCTGCCAATAGCCCTCCCGAAGACCAACTTGTTCCTCCCTGAATTTCTGAAACCGCCAAAGAAGAATCTGATTCAATCTCCACGTTATCCCAAGCTTGTTCCTTCAGCCAACTTAAAACCTCCCGAATACCTAAAAGCTCTGCTTCCAATGGAGAACAATCTCCATTCCAACTTTGTACTCCTGCCGCAACAAAAGACCCAGCGGCATCCCGAAGTACCCAGCCTAGGCCTCTCCCCTGACTGCCAACAGCTGCATCAACGTTGGCCTTCAACCAGCCCTCCTGCGGTCGCCTCCACCGCTGCACCGTTCCAATTGCTCCCTGCTCCGGCCTGCTCTCCTTGGATTGCGCAGACCTCCATCCATTCACAAAGCCCCAAGCCTTTTGCATAAACTGTCTCGGGCTAAGAAACTCATGTTGCCAAACCCGCCTATTTCGTTCCGACCAAATCCCCCAACAACCCCAGGCCACCTTACACAAATCATCACCTCTTTTGCTCTCAAACACCCTTTTCAGCCATTCCAAAAAATTCAGCACCTGCAATCTGTCAAAACACCACCCAACTGATCTCCATGCCTCTGCCGCCTCTGGACAAACCACGAATAAATGCAGCAGTGATTCATCTTCCGCCCCACACAGCCCACAACGTTCTAAACACGCAACTCTTCTTAGTCGGAGATTCACCGTGGTGGGCAGAAAATTGCTACAAATCTGCCAGAAAAGGGTTTTGATTTTTGGTGGTAAATCCCAATTCCAAGCAGCAGTCCAGCCTTGCCATCCATCTGGTTGCAGCTCCCCGATAAGCCTCCGATAGCAGCTGCGTACCGAAAACTTACCATTAACTTCCCCCTTCCAAATAACACGATCCGGCACCTCTCTCCTGCTCAACGGAATACTTCGGATCAAACACTCATCTCTGCTAACAAATAATTCTTCCAGGAGGTCTTTATCCCACTTAGCACCCTCCAAAGAAATAAGACCAGCAACTTTAAGATCCTCCAACCCTGCAAATAAATTAGAGGAAATTTTAGAGTTAGTAACATCTGGAAGCCAAGGGTCCATCCATACATTAATCGACTTTCCATCTCCCACTCGCCAACAATATCCATCCCTAACCACCTCCTGAGCTTCAAATAAACTTCTCCAGATAAAAGATGGGTTATTACCCAACTTTGCTGAGACAAAAGATCCTGTAGGATAATAACGGGCTTTGAAAACTAAATCAGGACCATTTTAAACCTTGTAAAACACAAACATTTTTTATACAAGCACATTGCAATTCTGAAAAGCAAGCCCAACTAAGAAACATATTTGATAGGAACCCAAAACCCAATTACCCAAATTTGATACACCATATAGTGCCCATGGACTCCGTATCTAGTAAACAACCCAAGACCCCTTTGGTAAACCTACGTCCCAAAATTAACTTCTCACTTTTCTTTTTGGACAGTCCCGAAATTAACTTCACACTTCAAAACTTTCCTTATTTGACAAATAATCTACATAAAAAAAGTGCCAAATAGTGTCAAACAGTGTCCAAACAGTGTCAAACAGTGTTTAAACAGTGCAAAACAGTGCACTCCACAGTGAAGTGAAACGGAGAAGTTTTGTTGGACGGAGGGAGTATATAGGGAGTGTTTGCGGTTGCTTAAACTTTAAAAAAGTGATTTTTCAAAGTGATTTTGGGAAAAGTGATTAATACTAAAAGTTGGTAGTGTTTGAGAAAAAAGTGATTCTGAAAAAGTAAAAGTTGGTAGTGTTTGATAAAATAAATACTTTTTGTGTAATAGAAAAAGTGAGAAGCAGTTTAAAGCACCCTTCTACCTACTTCCAGCTTTTAACTTTTAAGTGATTAATTTAAGCAAAGTTATCATTTCAAAACACTCTTTTCCCAACTTTTTTTAAGCTGAAAAACTCTTTTTTAAAGCTGAACAACCCCAAACACTCCGATAAAAATCGTTAACCCCTTTTTTCTGTAAAGAGAGAGATCGGCTAAACCTATGCTCCGCCCACCACGAACCGTCTATCCTCCTAACTTCTTACAGCATCCACAGAACTAACGGTTACTCCGATGCTCTCATCCAAATCTGGTTCACCGATCTTTGTATGCGGAATGTAGAGTTGTCGGTAATGTTCCAAAGCTTCATCGTCGTTCTTTCCAGGCTCCATCGAATCGCTTTTTCACCGAGTACACAACGCCGATAGCAGCATCTCCGATTTCATCAGGGAGAAACAACCTTCGAATCCCCTAAGGAATCCGATCGATAAAGCCACCGTGGGTCTCCTAGGCACTCTCTTGCCCAAATCAAGGATTAAAGGCAGCGGCTTTACCCAGGTATTCTTCTTTCGTATTTGAGCAGTATCACTCTTGTGATAATCATGTCATGATTATGAGATTTTTTATTTTAAATTTATTTCATTAATTTTTCTTATTTCACTTTTGTTACACTAAAACCGGCATGATATATGCAGTGATTCATGAAATTGTGAGGTTTTATTTTAGAAGAAAATCGAAGTGATCAATTGGTTTTGAAAAAAAAAAATCTTTCACACTCATGTGTATATGTCTTCTTAAATCTATTTAACATCATATTGTCCACCTAGGAAATAGAAATATAAATACATTATATTTGCAAATCAATAGATTGATAATATTTTTTTACTATTTTTAGTTTCCGGTAATATATGCACCAGTTGTTCTTTACAAAGGCCAAAAACATGTGCTTAATCTTATTAGGCGATTCTCTTAAGAAATAAAAATTTTGATTACCATTTTTTCTCACTTAAAGTATATCACTTTTGGTGTATTTTAATCTATTCTGAAACCAAAAGATTGATTTATCCTGATTTTTTGTATACTGCCATATTGTTCTAAGAAATCAGTATGCTTAGAAAACACATATTTACATAAATATGCATTTGGCATAAATTTGTTTACTTAATTTCTATCTAATTTGAAACAACAATATCATTTTTTTTATTTTCATTAAAGGTTGTGTAAAATGATTCAACACCTCTTGTGTAAAAATACCTACCTGTTTACAGATATAAAAATAAATATATTTATTAGATATCTAACACTTAATTTTCATGCTTATTAACTTTTAAAACTGATTTCCCTCACTTAGGTGCTTCTAATAAAGAATATGGTTCAGGGATATGCTGTGGTTCACTGTATGGTTCTTATCAAGAATAAAGAGATGCATGTTCCTTTGCTCTTGACTTTTTTACGGTTCAAGATGTGTCCTTTCTATGGTTGCATGAATGCTCTCTCCCTGCAACTAGTGATGTTTATATAACATTATAACATGCTAAGTAATAAGAATGATACGGTAAACCGATTTTTATTTTAGTGTACATAATGTACCTTTCTTCATGGAAAACAACCTCTGGTGTCTCTCCCTCTCTAGAATACGAACCTCATTTCTGACCTTGCTGTTTTCACTCTAAAATTAAGATGGTTTTATACTAAAATTTGTAGTGTTTGATCCAACAGTTAATAAGATTAACTAACTTGTAGCACACAATATTAACTTTGAAAGGACAGCATAGTACTTATGTATACTTGCCATATAAAAGTTTTGAATCAATCGAGAAAGCTCCTTTCAAAGGACAGCACAGTGCTACTTTATACTCCAAAAGATTTCAAAATTTTGAATCAACACAGAAAGCCAGCTGTGTACTTTATTAGTTGTATATGACTATGTTAACCCAATGGTTATTAGCTGGTTATTGTACGGAGCATTAAATGCAGCCTACATTATTGTACTTGTTTTGGTCAGTAGTAGAGATCAAGCATTCTTTTATTGAGCCACTAAATTAATTTCTTGAGCCACACAAACTGATACATTGGATATTGGGCCTCTGTTGACATTTATTGAGCAGATTAGAGAACTTGTTTCACACCTGTTTCTGAACCCATATCCACTTGACCTGACCCGTTACTGTACAATGTTTGGGCGGGAACACTACAGTTTTCATCTTGCTTTTGTATAATAGAAGATAGAAGATAGTGTTACCCTCACTCTATAGTATTGCAAAGTTTTCAATTTGATATTTTAAATTATGCAATTAACATTATAAATTTACATTTTTGAAAGAAATGATGCATGATCATGGTGTTAAAATAACATTTTATATAAAGTTTGAAGTATTTAAATTACGTATGCAAGTTTGGGGTGCTTATCTCACACCCTTTCATAGTTTGGGGTATTTTAATTATGTTTCCCTTTTATTTTGACTGAAGTTCCACTAGATCTTGCTACAACTTTTCCAGTAACACTTCTTTTGATCTCCTGAATATCTCCAAAAGAAATTAGCTATATTTATGTACAGAATATGTATGATTGTTGTTGGAAATATTGTGGTAGCTAAGTGATGTGAGGTGAATTTTTATAGAACATGTTTAATTAGGATAAGGTGTCCATACTAAATAAGCTGTTTTTTTCCAGGTCTAAAGACTATTCTCAATGGTTTGGTTACTTGGATGACTTTTGTGCAGTGTATGGTCTTGGTTGTTTCTTGATGAAGTGTCGCCCTCAAGTCAGTGATTGGCTGATTGGAGGAAGACATCCCTGTAAGACTTTCTAGTACCCTTTTTATTTCAATATTTGTATGCTTGTTGACCACAGTCATGCTTGTGTTTGTGTTCACCAGTGGCATCAGAGAAGAGATTAATGGGTTGTTGGAAGTGCAGGAGTTTCCAAGGGCTCGTAAAGTTTCCAATAGAATGGGGTTTGATTTTGTTAAAGTTACCAAGTGTTGTAATCCTTTTGTAAATCACTTTATAATGACAGGAAAAAGGTATGGGGATAATGGCCTAATTTGACCCCCCTTCGTGGCTTAAAAAAGTCACAGGGTTGACTCTTTGTGAGGATAAAGAGATGGTTTAAGGCCAGGTTACCCATCATGGGGTGGATAAACCTGTAATCAAATCCTAGTTTGGATAGGGCACCCTCCAAACTCCCATAAAACCTCCCAAAAGCTTGGCCAAGGTCCAGCTTTATGGCTATATTGCCTTACCTGTTTGTTGAGGTGGTGGCTAGGGATAGACTTGGTTCGGGCCACCCGGAACCAGCCCGGCCCAGCCCGGGAAACCGGTTGCAGTTCGGGCCTAGGCTCGAGCGGGTAAGCGGTTCTGGGCCCGGGTCATGAAAAAGGAGAACCAGCCCGGCCGGGCAATGGCCCGACTCGGAACTTTTGTTTTCTTTTTTCTTTTTTCTTTTTTCTTTTCGGTTTGGGATGAGTTTAGTTGGGCTGGGCTTGGTGTTTCTGAGTGGGGGTTGAAATAAATAAGAGAGAAAAAAAATTGAAGCGGAAGTGCGGAACTGGTAGACTCTCGGACGGTTCCGGGCCTTACCCATAACCATCCGAGCCCAGCCGGGCCTAGGCCCGAACTGGAACCAGATTGGGCCTGGTCCACCTCTAGGTGGAACTACCCAGGCCTGGTTCTAAAAATTTAAAGCCCTGCATTGACCTAGTTTGGTCCAGTACCATTTCTGTTTTTCTCTTTAAATCTAGTTTTTTTGGCTCAAACTAGGCCCTGAAATTCAAGCCCAAACAATGCTCCTACCCAACCACAGTTGGGTACTGGGTCAATGCAGGGCTTTAGAAAAATTGGCCTATGCTAGTACAATGATGTACCAGTCATCTGGTCTGTCACTGATCGGGATGCCTTCACGTATTTACCCATTGGGTGGAGTGAGGCACGGACCAGGCTTTTTAGGGGAAAGTTGAGGTTGAGGCTCTGAATAAACCGGTAATCCACCGGGACTGGGCTGGTTTTCCATGAAACCGGGTCTGGCCAGGGCTCGGGCTTGTTTAAAAAACTGCCCTGCCCCCTCCCCCTCTCTCAAAAAAAAACTGCCTAGCCTCACCCACCTGGAACTAAGCGTTAAAAACATAGACCAGCCTAGTCCTCCTATTTCTGAACTTGTAGCCTGCCTAAGAAGCCCTTTGGATGAGTCCTTGTTCAGGTTGATCTAACTCAGTCCATCCCTAATTTAAGGTACTAATCTGTCATGCAGAATCCCACTTAGTCGTGGATTACTATTTAGCCATAAACTTTTGAGAATTAGTACACAGTTGTCTCGCTTGTTCAACACAGTGAAAATAAAAAATTAAATTAGAAAACACTTCAAAAATGTACTATTGTACGCCAACATATGATAGCTCCCCAAATAATGTGCTTTTCTCTGATGACTTGGCCGCAATAACTCTTCCATATCCTTGATTTCCCCAAAGCACCCCCCAAGAGTTCCTGATTTGCCAATAACAACTTTCTCTCTCAAAGCCATACCCAGTTAGTACTACCACATATGAGCCTTTTGGCTCACAATGGGTAGTTGGTCCGTAGTATATTTCATCCTTCAAATTTACAAATAAATCCATATATTAGTTAGAAAGTATAAGGCAAGTAAAAAATGTATGATTTTCTTTATAATTTTCTTAGGTGTCACCTTCAACAAGTGCAGTTCAGGGTAATCCATTAGAGATACACACATTGGGTTGTCCTTTAATACAGCTTCTGTTTCTTCCGTGACATGTTGAAAGTATCGCTTTTTTTATATGGTATGCCCTGGAGGTGACCTAAAGATATTTTTGAATTTCAATGATTAATATTGTTTAAATATAACTACAATTAATGAAATGCTATTAAATTTAAAACATTAACCCGGTCTTTTCCGATTTTCTGTTTTTTGTTTTCTGGCCCGGTCTTTTCTGCCCATCTTTGGCCCTTAGAATTCCATATCGCTCTGTTCAATCTACTATACGCTTCAGAGAAATTGGCCTGATGAAGCGTATATATAATGGGGGTGTTCGGCCATATTAGAAGGAGGAGGATACACACTACACATTTTGTATTAAAGAGATCATTGCATCCAAGCAGCAACTTTCATTCAACTATTATTCAATTATCATTATTCTTTTCTTTGTTCTTAATCTCCATAAGTGTTGATTCTTAATTGCTCGATTCCCGTACAATCATCATTCTGAGTTTAGCTTAATTTGGGCTTAAACAAATCTCATCAGTGGGTATGATAGAAGATTTTATATCACTTTTGATGCTGATGTTTTTATGTCTAGGTTAAGAAAGACTTATCAAGCTGAAGTGCTCAATTTGGGTCTTCTTGGGATCCGCATTTATCAACTCAAGCTCAACACTTTAATCAACTCCGCATTTATTAATAAATTTTTTTAGATATAATTTTTTCAGAAACGATAAATATACTTCGTAAATTTGCAAGTATTTACCACTATATATATATATATATATATATATATATATATATATATATATATATGAAGTACTTTTTGGTATTTTTCTTAACTATTCGAGTTTTTTCCCGGAATAATGCTAATTAAATAATTAATTCCCGAAATACTGCCGGGTTAAGAATAATTCCCAAAATACTGCTGGGGTTAACCACGGTTAAGAAAAGCCGCCACTCCAAGTGGCGGCTCTTGTACTGCTTCACAAAAGCCGCCACTTGGAGTGGCGGCTTTTGTGTTAACGAACCTGCTGCACAATTATTTACACAAGTTAACCTGCAATTACCAAATAATCTGCTCATCACAGACTCACAGTCCATTCCACTCAAAAAAACAACCAAACATATCATCACAGACTCACAGTCCATTCCACTCAAAAAAACAACCAAACATATGATTTAATGAAACTACATGACAACATACATCCAAGACACTAAACAAATCAATGAAACTACATATTATGAAACTTTCACAAACCAAATCAATGCACCACAAAATTGAGTATAAACCATAAAAGTTATAATAAATCTGGTGTTTCACAAAATGATTCGATCTGCCAGTGCATGCTACAACTTTCACACAATAATTTAAATACAAAGATCATAAGTCAACGTGATCATCATCATCATGAAGTTCATGTAGATGTGCTCGGGGACGCCTGCGCTGGTTACGAGGCTGAAGAACAACTCTATCACGTCGGACTGCCTGAGAATACCCTGCTGCGGATGTAGATGCGGTGGAATGCTGAGAGGTGGCCATATATCCATAATCCACTCGACCCAATACATCAGCGCACAGTGAAACAATGCCTGAACAGGCGTCATGGTATCCCTGTACATCTACCGCCTCATCAAGTATAGCAGTCGCTCTGTCATGGATGCTACGTAAAGCCCGTGTCTGTAATGCAAACATGGTTATTAGTGAAAAACACATGAATAAATAAATAAATAAATAAATAAATAAATAAAGATATTTCATTGACTATATTGTTTACCGTCATATGAAGAGCGACTGAGCTAGGCTGGTAATGATCAGTGGGTAAACGAAAACTGGGAGAGATAAACACCCGTGTGATGGTGTAATACCATCTCATGTAGTCTACAGAAGCTGTGGGGACTAATGATGGGATCCCGTCCACTATATACGCCGCTCTCTCATCCCACATAGTGATATACTGAATATGGCGCATCCCCCAATCTTCAGTGTGCTTCCCCCGTCTATCAATCTTGTGCAAATCCACAGATGTATCACAAGGCCCGGGAGTAACCTGCTGCAACCCGAACTGGCGTAGTACGCGATCAGGAAAGTGATGCTCCACTACATCAAAACATATCAAGGGCACACGTGCTCGCCATATCTCAGTGTGCTCTCGGGCTACAGGAGGCAACCGCCCTAGAATCTCATCAGTGTACGGCATCCACGTCATCTTTAATATAAAATTATGTTAGACCATGGGTTATAAAAACATAAAACAAAGTACTTACATTTAATGATATAAATGATATACCTGATCATCACACAAGCGATCTAAAGCATCTCGGTAGTATCCTAATCCAGCAGCGGATGACGTGCGCGTGACATGAGCAAATAGCCATCTGACACATTGTAATGTATAAGAATATAAAAGGGATTCACGTACGTCATACAAAAAAAATCATAAACATACCTACGACCCAAAGGATCCTCGCCACGAACATGATGTGGCCCAAGTACAGCGTGCTGATCCATATCATCATCAAGAGGACCACCATCTACCCCATGATATCGCAGTATGACAGGTCTGCCGATATGAATGTGCTCCCATGACCATAGCTGTATGAGCAATAAAAACCCACCCATCTCTCCACCATCACGATGGCAACCTCGACATAACTGCCGATATAGGTATGCTAAAGTCGCACTACCCCAGCTATAAACTGCAGCTACATCAAAAGACTCTAGAATGGGTAAATACAAGACCTGCACCTCATTCCCGCTCTTGTCCGCAAACGTGGAAGCTCCCATAAGCATCAGAATGTAGGCTCTCGCGTACTGCTGCACAACATCGTCATCAGCATCAGCAGGTAAACCAACAAAATGCTCTCTCAACCAAGCCATCCTCAAGGCGGACCCCCGAATATCTGTCCCAGGGTGTGGCCGTACTCCCAACAATCTGTGTACCAAATCAACCCACAGTCTACATGCAGTCCCAGTAACTGCCCGACCCTCGATCGGTAGACCTGCCAATACAGCCACATCTCCTAATGTGATCGTGACCTCACCCACCGGTAAATGGAACGTGTGAGTCTCCTGCCTCCAACGCTCAAGTAGAGCGGTAAGTAATGCTCTATCTATATGCAGAGTCGAAACTAATCTGTGAACACCATAAAACCCAGCTAATCGAACGTAATGTAGAATCCTATCGTCAACCCCCGGGTGGAATATACTGCGTAGGTGCTCACGACACCTATCTACCTGAACATCCAGGCCATGCCACACATCCTCGCTCCGGTGCGTGGCCTGCAATGTCAGGACTGAAGGATCAATCGGTCCGGGATCCACTGACACCTGCATCGGCGCTGTAAAAGTAATAAGTGTATTAGTTATTTTATTTTATTATTAAATTAAAATTATTTATTTTTTAATATTGCTAATGCATTTGCGGAGAAAACAACAACATTACCCAGTGGAACTCCCTACGTGTCCCTCTGATCTTCTAGCACATGTCGTCTTGTTATGCCCTGTTTGCTTGCATTTACTGCATCTCACAGTACCTTTAGGGCCTTCATCCATTTCATTTCTCAATCGTTTAGCCTTCGGACGACCTTTAGCGCGAATCATCGACGGGTCATGCACAACTCGTGGTCCAGTGTAAGTAGGTCGATATGCTATATCTGGTATGGGCTTAAATACTCTTTTATAGGAAGCCGCATACTCCGATGAAGAAAAAAATTTATCAACAAAAGCATCATAGGATAAACTACGGTGTCTGCATACCGCTAATATATGTGAGCAAGGAATCTTATAGATATTCAGCTTCTGACATGTGCAATGGCGACGGTGCAAATTCACCGTTTGTTTTCTGCCACCCTTCCCCACGGTGCGACCACCACGACCCGTCTCCACTTGGTATAAACCATGGCCTATGTCAAATATTGTGACCTTGTGATGCTTTGCCTTTTCCGTATTTTTCTCTATCAGTTCGGTCACTTGCTGGCAGTAGCGATGCCCTTCTGCTAATCTTCTCTTACTAGTTTCTCTTCTTTCCACAAAATAGGCATTCACACGATAAAATGATAACTCAACTAAGGCGGTTACAGGCAGGTATCGTGCACTCTTCATGACACTATTGAAAACTTCAGCCATGTTCGTTGTTGTGGTGCCATACCTGTACCCCCCGTCGTGGTGTAAAGACCACTTCTCCAAACCAATGTTCGCTAGATATTCTCGTGCTTGTGCCTGCATTTCGCCTATCTTGTTAAATCCACCATCAAATTTCTTCTTTTGACGTTGACTTGCTGTCCAAATGAACAGATTCTTCAAGTGAATGTCTTTAAATTGAGTATGCAGATTAGAAGCGACATGCCGTATGCAAAGCCTATGTCTTGCATCTGGCTCCTCCCATCCACCACCTACCTCATTAAATGCCTTCATAATTCCAGCATGTCGATCTGAAATAACACACAATTCTCTGCGTGTGATAAAATGACGTATGCACGCCATAAACCACGGCCAACTCTCTCCATTCTCCGATTCACAGATAGCAAACGCCAAAGGGAACAGTTGATTATTAGCATCACTACCCATTTCCACCAACAATGTACCTTTATACTTCCCATATAAGTGTGTTCCATCGATGGTCAGTAAGGGACGACAATGTTTAAAGCCCTTAATGGATGGCTTAAATGCCCAAAAAACTCTTTGAAACTGCTGAACATCAGTGGTACCTGAAAGATGGAGAAAATTAGGAGGACAAATTTAAAATGAAATTTAATATGATTTAATAATGATATTAATAACTCATTGGTACCTGAAAGAGGTGGGTACCAATGCACGACTGTCCTTGGATTGGAATGTTGTAATGCCAACATGAAATGAGGCAATTCAGAATACGACGCCTCCCAATCTCCAAATATTTCACCGATAGCTTTTTGTTTAGCCAACCAACTTCGCTTGTACGAAGGTATATAGCCGTACCTTTCCTTCATAAGCTGACTAATAGTGCGGACTTTTAGTGATGGATCGGTACGAAGAAGATCAATAATTTCACGGGCTATGAACTGAGCTGTGATACCAGCATGGTCAGTGTTATCGACGTTACCTAGACAAGTAGGTATATGAGGACCTGCATAACGAACAACTTTGAACATCTCTAGCTTCTCATGTTTCTTAGTAGCCCTGATCCGCCAAGTGCAGCCACATTCTTTTCTCCTCTTACACTCTGCCACCCATTTGTGTTTGTCAGACTCTACAACTGAGAAAAATTGGTTCCTCTTTACAGAGTACGCTCTAACCATGTTGATCAGTTGTTTCTTATCATCAAACTCTTGCCCAACCTCGAATTCACCATCTGCAGAGAAGCGGCTAGAAGTTGTAGAACCCTTCCATGATTCATCAAATCCCGCAGGGAGCTCATAAACTTTAGTGTAGTGGCTGGATGGAGCATTGCCACTTACGAGATCACTACCATCTTCATCTGAATCTGTTAGTGTGTCATGGTTCACATTTTCATCTGCATCGTCGTCAGTGAACTGTGAATCCAGAAACGTTGCATCATTGTTCACGTATCTTCCATTCTCCTGTGTAACCATATTCATCACAACTGGAACACTTGTGGATGGACAAGATAATGACGCGTTGTCAGGTTGTATGGGCACCACAGTTGCTTCTTCTACATATATCTCCATGGTATGCATATCAACATTCGCGATTAAAGTCCACATTCCCATAACGGCTTCCTCGTCAGCAAGAGGCATCAACATGTATGATCCACCATGAATGGGATATTTAACCTTCAAAATCAACTTGTTCATACGATTGATGGATGTGGCGGTATAAATTTTATTCATTAATTCAGCCACATCCACCCCACGGGAAACAACAATTATCTTTCGACTACCCCCTTCATAATGAATTTCGTTTGACTCATCGATAATATTTCCTCCCCAATGACAAACAATGGGGAAGTTTGGAGACATATTCTACGAAAAAAATCATTCCAAAAAAAGTATGAACATGGAACATACAGTGAACATAAAGTAAGTAAGTAACATACAATAATTTAAAACTTAATACAGTTACTTCATAAGTAACTGCTAACATACAGTTGTCTATACAGTAACATACATGTATATTAGCTATGAAGTATGAACAGTGAACATAAAGTAAGTAACATACAGTAATTTAAAACTTCATTTATAACATTTTTATACTGTTTATCATAACTGCTACTAATAACTACTTTATAATATTATAAACTAAACTGAATTGCTAACTTCAGCTAACTTTTATATACTGTTAATTATATACTTCAGCTATAAACTGTTATAAAGCTATAATAAGATGCAGGTTGTCAACCTAACTGTAAAGTTTAACTAACCTTACAGTTAGCTACAATTCCCTTTCTAGAATTGTTTTTTAGCTATAAATAGCTAAAAATCCATGTGGTTTTTTTAAAATCCTATTAACATTTTATACTCCTATGTTTTTATTCAAATATTATAAGGTCTTAATATCCTGATAAGTCTACGCCCGATCTTCTTCGGATTGTCTACGCCTGAATACCAGTCTGATTCCCATTGAAGCAACAAATTGACATCCACAAATTTTTTAAAGGTTATCCGAAAGCAATCATGCACCCAATGTACTTCAAGAAAAATTGGAACAAAAGAAGTATATTTTGTGTCTCAATCAATGTTACCAGTGTTAATAAACTAGAAAAAAACTGAAATTTCGAGAAATACAACACCAATTTCGAACAATTTCAAGCTAAAATTAAGGAAAGAACCTAGGTTTAGCAAAGAAGATGAAATACCTCGATTCAAACTGTTGTTGACGGTTGAAGGGAGCACAAACGATTCCGGAACACAGCGCCTCTTTTCCCGTTGATTCGAGCCGCGTTTGGACGAGTCGCGCAGGGAGGTCGTTGGTTGCAGAGGTTTCGTTCGTCGTTGGTTGCAGCGGCTTCGTTCGTCGATTGAAGATGAGGTATAAATTTCTGACTAAATGAGCCGCCAGTCCGAGTGGCGGCTATTGTGAAGGAATAGAAGAGCCGCCACTCCAAGTGGCGGCTTTTGTGAAGCAGTACAAGAGCCGCCACTCCAAGTGGCGGCTTTTCTTAACCGTGGTTAACCCAGCAGTATTTTGGGAATTATTCTTAACCCGGCAGTATTTCGGGAATTAATTATTTAATTAGCATTATTCCGGGAAAAAACTCTAACTATTCCCATAAATCTCTATGTTTCAATAGATGATGTTACTTTTTTATCTTCAACATTTTGACGATTGAAGTATTGAAAACCAATTAAATAAAATAATAGAACGCCAAAAGAAGACCAAAAATTAGACGGGGAAATGAAAATTTATAAATTCTCGTTTGCATATATTGAAAAACATTCTCTTAATGTATTATTGCTATGCATTATTCTTTTTCACAATTTTGTTAAATTATAATCACCTAAATGTCGATATCGATTATGGATCTCTTATAATTAATTTTTCAGGTTTGGTAAATCAGCATATATATGAGTTTTTTTTTTGCTAGACTCTGTAGTCTCTTAGTATAGTAAAAAAAAACCTGAAAACTCATATTTATACACTTATTTTATACAGAGTAATTGATAGAGTATTATTTACTCCTTTTTTTTTACTCTAGGGGGGTCTGGGGGGAGGGGGTCTGGGGGAGCCTGGAGTAATCAGGGCTGAAACTCACTTCATTGAGTTTCAAGTCCTTATGTGCTTAGCGGGATTCGAAACCTCGCAACCAGCTGGGGTGGAATGCTTGTTTTTATTATTTACTCCGTATCAATTAATATTTTCATCTATGAATAAAAACAACTTTAATAAAAGCACAGAGTATACTTGCTTGTAAATGATACTCCATATTAACTATTAAGAATTGGGATTGAAGAGATGGCTGTATCTTTGTATTTCTGGCTAATAGATTGAAGAGATGGCTGTATCTTTGTATTTCTGAACAGCAAAGTGCTTTTATTCCGGGTAGATATATAGTTGATAATATTTTGCTTGCCTTTGAGACTCAACATTTTTTAAAACGAAAGCGACAGGGCATACAGGCTATGTAGCTCTGAAGCTGGATGAGTAAGGCATATGATAGGGTGGAATGGGCTTTTTTGAGAGGAATGATGCTTCATCTAGGCTTCGATGAGCGATGGGTGAATTTGATTATGGAATGTGTCAGTTCGGTATCGTACTCTATTCCATTTGACGATACGGATATTGACACGTTGCCACCGGGGAGAGGGCTGCGTCAGGGTGATCCTCTATCGCCCTATTTGTTCTTAATTGTTGCTGAGGGACTTAGTGTCTTACTACGCCAGTATGAGAGTGCAGGGCGGATCCATGGGGCTGTAATCGCTCGGAGGGCTCCTATGATCTCTCACTTATTTTTTGCAGATGACAGCCTCCTGTTTTTTAGAGCCAATCATGGGGAGGCAGCCCTTATAAAAGAAACGCTGGCAGACTACGAGGAAGCGTCAGGTCAGGTAATTAATTTCCATAAATCCCGGATTTTCTTCAGTTCGAATGTGAGCACCGATTGCAGAGCAGGGCTGATAGATCTCCTGGGCGTCGGAGTGGCGGGGCCGAATGAAAAATACTTGGGTCTCCCGGCCTTATTGGGTAGGGGAAAAAAGGATATCCTTAGTTTTCTCTGACAGAGAGTGGTCAGCCGCATTCAGAATTGGAATAATAAATTTCTTTCTAAAGCTGGAAGGGAAGTGTTATTGAAATCAGTTATTCAAGCCATGCTCACCTATGCAATGAATGTGTTCCTTCTACCTAACGATCTTTGCAGAGAGATTGAAGTGTTAATGAATGGGTATTGGTGGAAGGGAAAAGCCGGGTCAGGTATCTGATGGAAGAATTGGGCTTCTCTCAGTACTCCGAAAAAAGTTGGCGGCCTGGGTTTCCGGAAACTTCATGAATTTAATTTAGCCATGTTGTCTAAACAGGCTTGGCGTCTTTTTACTAATCCGGACTCCTTAGTCGGGAGAGTTTTTAAATCCCGCTATTTTCCGCGGGGAACATTTTTGACAGCTACCCTTGGACATAATACCTCTTTTGTTTGGAGGAGCTTATTTGAAACTCAGGATATCATTCGGGATGGTTTCAAGTGGCGGGTTGGGGATGGCAGGTCTATTAACATCTGGGAAGATCCGTGGCTGCCTGACCCATCCAATCCGAAGGTTATTACAGTGCCAGGCGAAGGCTTACACGAGCCCGCGGTTAGGAGTCTCATGGATGTAGATGGCAAATGATGGGATATGGACATTCTCAATGACATTCTGGATGATAGGGATGTGGACTTGATCCGAAGAATTCCCCTTAGCCTCCGTCCGGTTTCCGATGTTAAACAGTGGAGGTGGGGGGAGGATGGGCGGTTCTCGGTTAAGAGTTGCTATAGGCGGATAGTTGGGGAGATAAACCCTGTGAATTGGACAGGGTGGACTGAAATGTGGAATTGGAAAATTCCTCGTAAGATTAAAATTTTTTTCTGGCAGGTTTGTAGCGGTTGTTTGCCAACGAAAGATTTGTTGAGAGCCCGGCAGGTGAACTGTTCAGGGAACTGTGGACTGTGTGGCAGTGCGGGTGAATCTTTATTACACATTTTCAAACTATGCCCGGTAGCACAAGAGGCTTGGAGAACAGCGGCGAGGAGTTGGACGAGCTATGGAGGGGACAACTTTATGGAGCAACTCAAAATTGAATTTCAATCAAGAAGAAAAGAGTCTCTGGAAGTTTTGATAGGGGGATGTTGGGCACTCTGGTGCGAAAGAAACAGGAGAGTATGGCAACGTGTTTCTTCATCTGCTAAGGTTTTCATGGATAGGGCCCATTATTTTATTTCAGGTTGGAAGCAGGCTCAGTTCGAGAAAGGAAGAAGACCAGCGGCTGTAGCCGTTGCTCCTACAAATTGGCGCAGACCAGCTCCGGGCAGATTGAAGTTAAATGTGGATGCTGCAGTTAGATCGGATCGTTGCGGCTTAGGATGGTGCTTACGGGACGAAGATGGTAATTTTGTGGCGGGTACAGCAATGCCGTGGCCTGGAATATTGTCGTCTTTGGAGGCAGAACTGATTGCAATTAGGGAAGCCCTCAGCTGGTTACAGGGGACAGGTTGGCAGAGCGTGGAAGTGGAGTCCGATGCTTCGCGTGCTATCTCGGAGATCAAGAAGCATACCAGTTTTTCCTCTTTTGGGTTAATTGCAGAAGACATAAGGGAGCTAGCAACAAATTTTGCTAATATCTCGTTCTTTTTTACGCGACGGTCAGCGAACAAGCTTGCCCACTCTATTGCTAAGGCCGCTTGTTCTATGTCTTATTCGTGCTCTTGGTTTTATGTTATTCCTTCGTTTTTATCTTGTATTTTTTACAATGACTTGATTAATAAAAGTTGAGCATTCTACTTGCAAAAAAAAAGAATTGGGATTGAACTCGGCCCTCCCAGTGGTCATTCATTTAATTTAATTTGTATCGTGATCCCTGCACATTTGTATGTTTCTGAGAGGTATTGTACTTCTTCCCGTCCCACAAAGATGTTCCAGTTTGGCCTACACACATATTAAGAAAATAAATTTATCGAGGGTAAATTTTACTGTTTTGACTCTGTTTAAACACTCTTTGACACTGTTTTGATGTAAATAACTTGTCATTTAAGGAAAGAGAAACTTCTTTTTGAAACATCCAAATAAGGAAAGTGGGAAATCATTGCGGGACGGAGGGAGTATAATATAGGAAACATTTGACTCCTCGCAAAAAAAATGTTTGAGTCACATTTAATTTAAACAAAATAAGGCCCCGCCGCATTAAACCCTGGAGTCATTGAAGCGGTAGTAATCAGAACGGTGGTCACTGGAACGGTAGTAACTGAGATCTGTTGTCACTGAAGTGGTAGTAACTGAGACAAATTTCACAACAAATTTGGTATAATAAATTAAATATTTAAGACTTTAGATTTCCATATCCAAATGCGTATTTTTTTTTAAACAAATACGTATTTTAAGAAAAAATAATAAAATTAAAAGAAACATTAATTTTTAGTGTTTGTTATGTTTGGCAGGCGAATTGGTAGGCATTATTGCACTTTGACGCTGTATAGTTATCGACGTGCAATATATGGAAAACTAAATGTTAATAGGGAAAATATGAAAAAAGGGTAATATGGAAAACTAAATGTTAATCGGTGGTGTTTTTGGAAAATATAAATAAAGGGCACTTTCTGGAAATCATCTCCGTCTAGTAATATTGGTGTCAAAACACCTAATAATTAAGCTCGAGATTGAAATTATTTGTAGGTCTTAATTATTATTATTTTTAATTTTTTTATTGATATACCCACTCATATATTTGCAAGGGGTTTTTACAAGAATATTACTAAAATAAAACTTATTTACATAATTATGACTATTCATTACTACAACGTAGTGTTGTGGTAACTTAAGTCCAAAACTTGAACACGAATTACTATGATTTCATTATTACTCTAGTAATTAATCACATTTTTGTAAGTCATCTTTATTTTGGTCATATTTATGTAATTATTTCTATTTGCAAACCCTCTAATCTGATATATCTTCTAATATAAAAGAAAAAGAATTCTCAGTGAAGAAGTTGCCGCTCAAAAGTGTCAACATCAAGAGAAATAGTATAAAGAAAAAGAAATCCCAAAAAATACAATTCTCATGGATTGAAGTAGATGGTGTGTAGGTTTTTAAAAGGGCACAGTCAAGGTTTTAAATAGCCGTAGCGGCAGCAGTCATCGCTGTAGCGGCCTGTAGCCGACTATAGCGGTTGCAGCGGCGTGAAATATTTTCAATTGCGCAAAACATAAATGTATTTTTTCACATCATTCACACAACATTTAATTTTGAGTTTCACTCCATGCAACACTATTAATGTATTTTTCACATCATTCAGACAACATTTACACATTTACACATCAAACAGTTCGTGATGTACTGTCGGAAATGTCAATAATGGGCTGTAGCGGGCGGCGTAGCGGATTTTCCCCGTGATTTGGAAATCACACACGAATAGCGGGCCGTAGCGGTAGCGGCCCCTACCGCGACCGCTATATAGTGGCCGCTATAGCGGTAGCGGACCGCACAGTGTTCCTGCCAACTTCTTCCATTACTTTTTCGTGTACAAACTCAACTAAAATGACATAACACTCTTTCACATATTTGCACACCCTCTTATTTGCCATTTTCATGGGCAATTCGTGTAAACAATGCAAATCGTATAAATGCATTGTTTATATATTTTAGTCTTAAACTAAATCAGACTAGATCGTACTTTGATATTAGAAATAGTATAAGCACCTATTTTCTCACAAATTTAGATTCAAGAATAGTTTAAGAATGACATAACAAATTTTCACATATTTGCACTCCCTTATTTTACCTATTTAGAGAGACAATTCATCTAAAAAGCAATTCATGAAAATTTATAGTCACTTTATTACTTAATCGTTTATGTACACAACATGTATTTTCTTTGATCTTTACAAGAAATATCTTTAATCATTCATTTTCTCTAATCTGTACAAGGAATGTCTTTTTATGTTTGTTTTTGCATTTTATGCATAAATAAATCAGCTCTCAATATGTAAATTACATGTTTTTGCATTTTTGCATTTTATGCATAAATAAATCAGCTCTCATAAATAAATCAGCTCTAAAATATATATGCTGGAAAAAAGTTGCTTGAAATAAGCTATAAGCTGTAAGCTCCAAGCTATAAGCTATAAGCTGTTAGTTGCTATAAGTTCCCAACCTATAAGCTGTCAGCTATTATTTTAGTTTTGTGTGCCAAACACACCCTATATTAGTTGCTTGAAATAAGTTATGAGAGCTACCAAACATACACATTGGTGGCACTTTTCCCCTTGCTCTAGCAAAATGGGGAAAGACTGATGATTGTTACCTTGTATGGGCAGTTACATCAAAGAAGGAAGCACAGTGAGTGTGATGGGAGTAGTGAGAGCAACCGCAATGCGGTGCAGTCTAGTGCATATAAAATATGCCATATGTCAATTAATTAAATGGATTTCTAATCTACATGATGCAAAGTGGACTAACGGGGTTTTTAGGTATTAAAAATTCTTCCAATGCGTGCAGTCTATGGTCTAGTCAATTTGTATATATGGCTTAATATGAGTGGATGTATTAATCGGTAGTATTTAATTTGAGGTTTCCTTGCAATGTTCCCAAGAATTACGGCTTCTTTAGATGGATTTTGTCCCACTCAGCAAGTTTTGCAGGCTGTCCACACCCGGACTTCGCTTTGCACATCGTCTAAAAAAAATTGACAGCTCACCAAGAAAAAACGTGGGACTAGCTGCATTGGAAACGAAAATATACAAAGACTGTCTAAATTATTGACGTGGCGCACTTCTCTCCACACTAGACACTACCGCATTGCGGTTGCTCTGAGACGCCATGATAATGTGTTGATGATTTTCCCGCCAAGAGAACCTGTTTCAATGGGCTGTCAATGGATGCAATGCATATTCCCAACCTATACGGAAGGGTTGATTTTGACATGCGATGAAGACCAAAGTGATGATGTAGTTCCTGTATAGATGATCAAGAATGGAAACATGGGGATTTTCTTAAGTGTATAGAATGAATGGTGAATCTAGGGGACCTTCCATTTTTTCCTGTAATGGTGACCATGGGCTAGACAAAAAAGCTCATTTATTTGTAGTTCTAAATTTATTTTTTAATTTAGCCATGTTTGTAAATAACTTTTTAATGAGCTGCTTGCCTGCTTATGACCACGGTTTTACCCTCTTCCTAAATCGACTATATTAACATTAGGCTAAAGTACAGATTTCGTGTATAGTTCTGGTCTATTTGGAGAAAATAAGGAGGTTTTTGGACCGTTCATTTCAATAATATTGTGAAAATGGGAGAAGGATTCTTCCATATCGTGAACCATAAAATACTCCTTTCTCGCTTGCATAATTGGTCATTCAACGTTTACATAATACTCCTTTGTCTACAAAATACATATGGTAAGTTTTGGATAATGTTACATATTACATCACAATTATGCAAGCGACAAAATACTCCTTAGTCGCTTGCATAATGTAACTTTGTAGTATCCATTTACAATTAACACAAGTTTGCAAAAAAGCCATGATGAATAACAAAATTCATCATCTCCTATTATAAGAGAAACTACACAACTTAAATTTGCCTTTTCAGGCATATATGTAATATGCCATAGAAGGTAATTTTTTATTGGATTCCGAATTTGATCCAGTTGCTTCTACATTATTATTTTATGAATTTGAGAATTATGTATAGTTTAATTAGATACAGTGTTGTAAAAAAAAATTAGATACAAAGTAATTTCCCATCTAGGTTTTGCTGATGATTTGGTAATTTTTATAAATGGGGAGTCAAGATCATTATGAACTTCAAAGCTTTTTCTAAATACCTATCAGGAGGCTTCAGGACAGACTGTCATTTTTTCAAAAAGCTCTATCATCTGTGGGGAGTCTTCTCCAACAAGGCAAACCAAAATCAAGGATCTTTTGGACAGGAAGTTTGCCTCTCTCCCTATCATATACCTAGGTGTGAACCTGCACAAATGCATAAATAGATTTGACTACTGTTGGAATATTATCAAACAGTTTGAAAAATAAACTATCTCCTTGGAAGCAAAAAAAAAACCATCTCATGTTAGGAGGCTAGTGCTCATCAAATATGTTCAGAACTCCATTCCAGTACATTGCTCATCAAAAATCTATCTTGCAATAGACACTTTACCTAAAAAGGTTGTTACAGTTCTTAGCTTAACAGTTAGATGAGTTCTTTCTTTCTGGGATCAACTGGCGATAAAAATAATATCATTGGATAAGATGAGATAAGCTGTGATTTCCTACTATTGAAGGAGGGTTGGGGATTAGGTCTTTAACAGATATTAAAAAGGCTTGTACTCTCAAATTGTGGTGGAATTGGAAGACAAAGGATTCTCTATGGGCCCAGCTTATGAGAACTAAATATGATAGGAATGGAAACATGATACCTAAGATTACAGACTCTGTTTGAAGAAGAATTTGTTCAGTCAATGACCGAGCTTTTGAATTGTGTTATGTTGACCCATCAGGTAGAATCATTTGGAATGAAGAAAGTGATGGTCTGTTCACATTTAAATTTGCATCTGAGGAGGTAAGAGAACTATCTTTTAGTTCTTACAACTTCCAACAAATATGGGCCACAAAGCAAAGAGCTTAAGATTAAATTGGTGCAGTGGAAAATCATAAAAGGGATACTGCCTACATTAGACAATTTAAGCACATTTAAGATGGTTCTCAATCCATCAATGTTCCCTCTTTATAGAAGCCACATTGATACAATGAAGCATATTTTCTTTCAATGCTTTATGGTAAGAAGAACCTGACAATATTTTTTGAGTATTTTTGGAATTCTCCAAACTCCTGGGATGGATTATGGAATTTCCACTATTAGAGGATTGTGAATGGAGAAAAAATCTTGGTTTCCATAATTAAACAAAACATCCCTGGAATAATATGTTGGATTATTTGGAAAATCTATTCTAACCAAATTTGGGGATCTAAGGGTAGGGTCCGGATAACATCATCCTCCAAATTAACATGTATGTACAAAATTGGGTAGTAAGCTTATCTACTTCTAAGCTTCGGTTTAGAAGAGGAGCTAATACCTAGAAATTTCAGAATTGTGGGTTTCAAGCCTCAAATTATTTAATGGCACAAGCCGAACAAACTATGAAAACTGAATGTGGATGCGAGTTACTTATCTGAGAGGGCCACCAGAGGAGCGATTTTGCGTGACCGAAATGGTGACTTCGTCTCGTCGATTAGCTTTCCAATTCAAGCTCAATCACCGGTGGACGCAGAGTTACAGACGATCTTCCTTGCCGTGAGATGGGAGATCGATGAAGGGTATGTTGGCTTCCAGGTTGAATCAAATTTCGTTTCAACTTTGGAATATCTAGCGGGCAAAGAAGAAAGAAGGTGGACAGATGCAATTTAGGAAATCACACAGGAGGCTTTCAGGAAACATGTAGAATTTGGACATACAAAATACGAAGGAAATTCGCCTGCGCATCGTTTGGCCTAGGTTCAGAAGGATCGTTTTAAAATTTATTCAGCCAAGGATAAGCTTCTAGTTATGGTTAAAAGGGCTTTTCGGATGTCTTTTTTGGTATTCCTTCTTTTAGAATGTAATTCTCTAGTTATTATTTTTTTCAGGTGAGGTTTGATCCCCCTGAATTTGCTCTATATTTTGTTTGCATTTCTGGTAATATTCGGTAAATACTCCTCGATATTTACCCTACTTATTTTGGTGATTTGCATGATGGGTTAAAAAAAATAAAAATTGAGGGGATAATTGATTGATTTTTAAAATACAAACTTGCCTTTAATTTTCCGCATTAATTCAGAAATCTTTCCATGATAAAAAAAACAGAAATCTTTCCGTAAAGGGCTATGCAAGTCAAAGCAATGATATTGACTTTCTACAGCGCGTTTACCGCCTGCTAGAAACAACGCAGCGGCCGCGCTTCGGGACACCGCGCAATTTCTCTCCCTCTTTAGATTCTTTCACTTATCCGTAGGGATCAAAGCAGGAAAATGCGTTCTTAAGAAAATCACGTTATACCCACGCACTTGTTGTATTTGGAGATAATTTGCATCTCTGGCACGTTGATTTGGCCCAGAGATGTCGAAATCATTGCCGTATTCGATGAAAGATTTGCAGTATGACAACGGAAAGTTCCGGCATCGCTCGGTATCTAAGGTTAGCTTATTTCCAAGATCTCGCCTTTGCATTCCTGAGTTTCCAAGTTCTTTGGTTTCGCCTTTCTTTTGTTGCAAATTGCAATATAGTTTGATTAGTTTCATGGGTTTGAGCTTCTCGGATATCAATCTTTGTTTCATATGTTATGAAAGAGTAGTCTTAGAAGCTTTAAAGCTGAAACAAAAGGGAAACCATTAGAGATTTTTAATGTATTTTCACAGTTAAAGAAATGTCTAGAATCGAGCCATAAAATTGTTCTAGAAAAACTACAACAAATCCATATGGCTAGAATCTAGCCGTGGATTTGTGCATGAAGTGATATTTGATGCATCCTAATAATTTGAGAAACGTCATTCCTATGGAAAAACTTCGGCTACATTCTATCCATTTTACCTTCAAAGAACCATTTTAATCTCTTATCAGAAGATATGAATGTTTTTAGTTGTCAACCACAGGCCAATCATGGGAGTATTCACTTTTTTCGATGCTAATAATTGGCCTTTCCACTGTGATATTGGATTCTTAATACTGAAAAATACTTAAACGAAGTATTTCTTAAGTGGCTAGTTTTGTTTTCAGATTGTACTGCTGTTTTCTTGGTTATGTTGTGATCATTATTTATTACCCTTCCCTCTTCACCACACCTCTTTGAATTTTCTCAATGTCTACAGGCAATTTCTCAGGCACTCTTAACCAGTAAGGTTAACCGCGATTCTGTAAAGTGCAGCACAGGGAAATTTCTAGGTTTATTATTCATTGGAGGTTTAATATATCTCATGATGACTCATACCAGTACCCTTCACTCTGTCTCTCACAATATTGCAAATGATAGTAGGTCAACTGAAGTAGGGAATTTCATAGCTGATGGAACAAATAAAGTTAAGCGTCTTTTGAGAAGATCTCCCAGACTCCCCCCTAGGTTATCACCAGATGAAATGGTTTTTGGAAATAAATCTACACACGGTAACCAGAACTCACACACTAGTTCCAAATGGCTATCAAAGCAACAAAGAGTGAAGGATGCATTTATCCATGCATGGTCTGGCTACAAAAATGATGCAATGGGCTATGATGAGCTTATGCCACTTAGCCACAGGGGAGTTGACGGTTTGGGAGGCTTGGGAGCTACAGTTGTAGATGCTTTGGACACAGCCATGATAATGGGGCTTCACGAAATTGTGCAGGAGGCAGGCTCATGGATTGAAAGCCACCTTCCTGAGAGGATAAACAACAAAGGACAAGTAAATTTATTTGAAACGACAATACGTGTGCTAGGTGGTCTTTTAAGTGCTTATCACTTAAGTGGTGGGGAGCAAGGGGGAAATCCATTATACAAGGGTCCTAAATCTGATATCTATCTAGAAAATGCTAGGAACTTGGCAGATCATCTTCTCATTGCTTTCACTTCAAGCCCTTCTGATATACCCTTCAGCGATGTGGTTTTGCATGAACGTTCTGCACATGCAGCTCCTGATGGTTTGAGTAGTACAGCTGAAGTGGCATCTTTACAGCTTGAATTTAATTATCTCAGTTTTCTAACTGGTGACCCAAAATACGGTGTAGAAGCCATGAAAGTTTTGGAGCATATTAAAACTCTACCGAAACATGAAGGTCTTGTCCCCATATATATTAGGTATGTGTTTAATTTTCTATTCAGATAGAATCCCAAGCATCGACTTTGAAATAAAAAAGATACAAAATTTATAAACTATCTCACTACATCCTCAAATAAGCGTGGGTTAAGAGTTAAGACTTAAGACCTTCACACAATTAATATGTGTTTTCATGTTTTGTAAATTAGAGATACATATACAACATTATGACTAGATTACCCTTCATCAATGCATTGATATTTAATAAAGTACTCTGGATTATTTAAAGGAGAAGAGTAATAGTGGTAAGAGAGAAATTAATGGTCCCTTGGTATCAAAAGAGACTTCTTTTAGAACAATTATTTTCTATAAAGCAGCACTAATTAATAAACAGAAAGAGTGTCTTCTCTTTTTACATTCTTTTAGTTGCAAGGCAATGTTTTACTTGTGAAGGAGCTATAAGTTTGTAGTGTTGCAGGATTAATCTAAATTTATGTGGTTATTTAAAACCTAGTTGTAATTTATTTGTATTGACCTTGTAACGGCAGCCCTCAATCTGGAGACTTTAGCGGAGACAATATTAGACTTGGATCTCGTGGTGATAGCTACTATGAGTATCTTATAAAAGTGTGGCTTCAACAACGGGGAAGTAACTGCTCATACTTATATGAGATGTATATGGAAGCAATGAAGGGTGTTAGACACCTTCTTGTTAGGAAATCTGTTCCAAATGGGTTGGTGTTCGTTGGAGAACTGCCTTATGGGCCACAAGGGGACTTTGTTCCAAAGATGGATCACCTGGTATGTTATTTTCCATGAAACCTTCTGGCTGAACTTTGAAAGCTTAAAGAAAGTCGAAATGGTCAATTGATTAACAGAGTCTTATGATCTACTTTCATCAATGAGAAGCAAATTTATGTTTATTCTTTCAAGATTTTCCGATTTTATCTCCAGTGGTTTCAAGTATTTACATGTTTATGACTTTTTCATACCATGTTTACCCATTGACATTCAAGAAAGGGTAATAAGGAAGTAGTGCGGCATGCTTCTTCCATCTTGTGTATTTATTTAGTTCTTAAAAGTGGTATTTCATGTTTTAAAACGGTTACGTGCCTACAGTTATTAATGCTTTACCAATAAATTCTTTGATATCTTTATCTGCATCTCTTCCTTAATGATTTTGAGGGCAAGGTTTGAGAAGTGCTTGCTTCCTAAGAGTGTAAATCATATAGGTCAGGTTATTGAGACAGATTTGTTTAATTTATCCATAGCCATTGATTTCCCTCAGAGCCACTACTAATACTATTTCTTCTGTCCACCATTCTAGCCATTAGCAAAAAGTGAAAACGAAAAGCATATTTAGGTCTAAAATAATATGGTTTTTGTATACATTTTATTGTATAACTAAAATCCGCATTTCTTTATGATTTTGTTATTCCATGACTGTTCGTGTTTTAGGTTTGTTTTCTTCCTGGCACTCTGGCTATTGGTGCCACAAAAGGTTTAACGAAAGAAAAGGCTATGAGGGAGAACTTGCTCAATTTTGAAGATCTGGAAAATCTCAAGCTTGCAGAAGATCTGGCCAAGACATGTGTTGAGATGTACTCTGTAACTTCCACTGGGCTTGCACCTGAAATTGCTTATTTCAATGAGGTTAGTTGAATTTGAGGTATTTCCCATAACAAGAAACTATAACTCTAGTGACAGTGACACCTTTACATGAAACTTTTAAGCATTCGTGATTGAATTATTATTGAAGAAAAATTCATTTAATTCTCCCTTTTATCTCATTTCTAGTGAAGTCTTGTGGTCTGAAATGTATTATACCAATTTGATGTAACTCATAATTTGTTACTCCATTGTTGTCAAAATAGTTAGCACATACTCCATATATTGCATAACCAGTTCTGTTCCCATTCGTATCCTCCCCCTAAAATAATAGTAATAATAATTGTAATAATAATATAATAATAGTAGTAATAATAGTAATAATAGAAAGGGAAAACTGTCAAATAGGTCCTCGAACTTTCATAAAAAAGTCAATTAAGTCCTTCTATAGGAGACTTTGTCCGGTCGTCGCGATTTGGGGCGGTTCCCGGTGGAATTTTTTGATGAATTTTTTTGAACATCTTATTCATCAAGCCTAGTTTAATCATACCAAATTTCAACTAAAAATTTAATCGGGAGCGCATTCAAATTAATTCGAGAACGCAAAAATGCGTAGTTATATTCAAGAATTGATTTGAATGTGTTCCCGATTGATTTTTTAGCTAAAATTTGGTATGAATAAACTAGACTTGGTGAATAAGATGCTCAAAAAAATTCATCAAAAAATTCCACCGGGAATTGTCCCAAATCGCGACGGCCGGACAGAACCTCCTATAGAAGGACTTAATTGACCTTTTTATGAAAGTTCGAGGACCTATTTGACAGTTTTCCCTAATAGAAATAGTAATAATCCCAAAGCACATGTAGTAATGCTTTAAAAAGTTTAAAATAGTAATGCTTTACAGATTACAATAGTAATAATTGTTTATATTATTAATGTTATTGTTCTTGCTCTAATACTATCATTATTATAGTTATTCTTATAATTAATATTATTTCAAACTTTTTATGTTATATCCGAAGCAGGGAAATTCTGGGGGTGGTTCTGATGGTGGAAACAAAAATTCAAAATATGTGAATGACATAATCATAAAACCGGCTGATCGTCACAATCTCTTGCGTCCTGAAACTGTTGAGTCATTGATGATATTGTATCGCATCACAGAAGATCCCAAGTATGCCTTGTTATTCATTTCCATGCTTCTTTGTCTTGTCTAATCTCTTTATTAGAGGGTATATTTGGATCCCGGAAAATGATAGGGAAAGGAAAAGAAATAGATGCTGCAGAAGTTAAAGGGGCAGCGCAGTGTCCATTGGCATCCCTGCAAGGCAAGGGTCTGGGGAGGGGTCCCACCACTATAAGGAGCACGCCTTTTCTTGTCATAGTTACAAGGGGACGCTCCCAAGACTTGAACCCGTGACTTCTCATTCACACAACAACTCCGTAACCGTTTTATGAATGGTGTTACTCATAAATACTAAAATAAATACCAGCGAATATCCCACCTAAGTCCGTTATATCCTAGTTTATTTTTTATTTCCCTTGAATTTTCCGGGTTCCAAACGGACCCCGTTGATATTTGCTTATATGGTTGTGCGTCCCGCAAAAGAGTTGATAGTTATGTCAAAATGTGTAATCACCTCTGCAGATACCGCGACTGGGGCTGGGAAATATTTGAAGCCTTTGAGAAGCACACAAAACTTGAGTCTGGAGGTTACACTTCTCTTGATGATGTCACCATAATTCCACCCCGGAGAAGAGACAAGATGGAAACATTTTTCCTAGGCGAAACCCTAAAATACCTATACTTGCTGTTCGGGGACAGCGATGTTGTCCCCTTGGATCAGTTTGTATTTAACACAGAAGCACATCCCATTCCCATCAAAGGAAATCCCCTATCATGAATTCATGATTCATGAATGGATGGAATCGTTTTTTTCTTCCTTTGGTGATTAAATATGTATTTTAGTCATACTGATATGTCATATCACCCATGTGTGTACTATAGATGTACTATATTTTTGTTCCTTGTAATTGCTGGACTTTTCAAAGGTTAATACTTTTGTACCAAAATTTGAAATACTAATGTAATTTGACAGATTATCTTCCAAGTAAACAAGGACTCGTTCAAGCCTTCTAGGCTTTTAGCCAGTGGTCATCTTCAGCGTGTTTTAACATATGCTTTTGATACGTAAATGAACACAGAATGGAATAGTTTCGTTGGAGTATTTATGAGAAAATTGCATTTTAAAGCCTCTTTGTTTGGTGGGAGTGAATTTAGAGTTGTGCTAGATGTACACATTTTGGTGTACACCTTTCGTACATTCTTCTGGCTCACGCACAAAAATTGTCTGTCCACAGACAAGTCTGCATGAGACAGATGAATGTACAAAAAGTTTACACAAAAATGTGCACACCAAGTTTTTATTGTGAATTTAAAATGTCTTGTATGATCAAAAGATGATCTTGTGATTAGGGATGGACTCGGGCCGGGCGGCCCGGCCCGGAACCGGCCCGGCCCGGTTACTGTTTGAACCGGCCCGGCCCGGGAACCGGCCCGGGGGCGGGGCGGGTCGGCCCGGCCCGGTTACTATGCAGTTCGGGCCCGGGCCCTTTGATTGGCGAACCGGCCCGGCCGGTTCGGGCCCGGTTCGGGCCAAATTAATTTTTTTTTTTGATTTTTTTTATGTTTTTGGGTTGGGCTTGGTATTTTGGGCCATTTGAGGTGGTTTGGGGTGGTTTGGGGGTGAGAGGGAGGGTTGGGGGTTAATTAGGAAAAGCCAAAAAAAAAAATAGAACCGAGGCCCGGCCCGGACCCGGGATTACCCGGGCCGGTTCCGGGCCTCCCATTTCTGAACTGAGGTCCGGCCGGGCCCAGGCCCGAACCGGAACCGGTCCACCCATACTTGTGATTGAAAACAGTTAAATATTGATTTGGTTAAATCATCTCACATTCATTGTTTAATCAAGGAATGTTGGTTTAGATAAGAGGATTTTCCTAGGATGAAACTTATTAATAAAAACATGACTAAATATGTTATGAATATGCCTTTGGGATTAGTTTAAAATTGAACATAATAACGTTAGTGAAGTAGTCATTGTAATTGTTACTATAATTCAACATAAATGATTGGGATTTTTTAAAGAAGTAATGAGGATTATATGACAGAAATAATGATAATAAACAAATCTGTGTTTTTTAAATTATGCGAGTGTACGGAATTTCCAGCAATATGGGTACTGTCGTGTAAAATACTCCGTATAAGGGTACTACCGTACTACGTAGAGTGGCTGAGTATATAACAATATCTAAGAGCATGATAAAAAATTGTCATGCAACTGTGCAAGAGCTATTTTTCAAGTCAAGGGGTCAAGTGGTCAACAGAGTCGGGTTAAAACCTTTATATGCTATAATAAATTGGGAAAGTTCCCTAAATATGACTAAAACAGTTTCAAAATTCTAAAATAGGACTACAATGTTTTTTATTCCCAAAATATGAATAATTACTGTCATGTTTGAAGTTTGGTACTGCCAAAACATGGTAGTCCTATTTTGGAATTTTGAAACTGTTTTAGGAAATATATGACCTGTCCATTTATGCAAATTGAAATTATTTAATTCTCTTAAAGAGGACAGTTTGAAATTTTATGGTCTCATGAATTATAATTTAGGGAAAACTGTCAAATAGGTCCTCGAACTTTCATAAAAAAGTCAATTAAGTCCTTCTATAGGACACTCTGTCCGGTCGTCGCGATTTGGGGCGGTTCCCGGTGGAATTTTTTGATGAAATTTTTTGAGCATCTTATTCATCAAGTCTAGTTTACTCATACCGAATTTCAGCTAAAAATTTAATCGGGAGCGCATTCAAATTAATTCGAGAACGCAAAAATGCGCAGTTATCTTCCAGAATTAATTTGAATGTGTTCTCGATTGAATTTTTAGCTGAAATTTGGTATGAGTAAACTAGACTTGGTGAATAAGATGCTCAAAAAATTTCATCAAAAAATTCCACCGGGAACTGCCCCAAATCGCGATGGCCGGACAGAACCTCCTATAGAAGGACTTAATTGACCTTTTTATGAAAGTTCGAGGACCTATTTGATAATTTTCCCGATTGTCTATTAAACATTAATTGGTTTGACTATAGTAGTTGAACCAATCAATAAAGAGATTTTGTATATTGCAATACGCAACCCTCTGTTTTGATGTCTTTTATTTGGTAGATGAAAATAAATTATAGGGAAAATTAATGTTTTCAAAACAGAGGGTTGCGTATTGCAATATACAAAATCTCTTTATTGATTGGTTCAACTACTATAGTCAAACCAATTAATGTTTAATAGACAATCTGATCCATAAATAAGAATCAAAAGAAAAAATCAGATTTAATAAACGGGGCCTTATATTCGTCTAAAAGAACAAGCGCCTCATCGTTCTGCACTTCTGCAGGGAACGTCTGGTTTTCTTTTGAAATAGCAACGCTTCTTGGCTTCTTGCTAAAAAAAATCAAACATCAATTTGTCTTAAAAATTGCAGTTTTGCTAGGTGTACACATTTTGATAAAGTTGTCTGTGGACAGATAATTCTGTGTGCATGAGACAGACGAATGTACAAAAAATGTACACCAAAATGTGCACACCAAACATTTTTCTGAAAATAAATGTCAGCCCAGAGTATATTGGTCTCCCTGGCCGGTTACTTTTTCTCTATAACTACTTTTCCAATACCAATGCTTAAACACACAATTTCATGAACTTATACTTCCATAATATTATCCCAAAAATTAAAATGAGTGATTCATTCAAGAACAGATTATCTAAAAAGATTATCTAGGATTGCTTTTTTGTTCCACAAAACGAAAACCACAATAAACTCCCACACTGAGGCTCCACAAACTTCTGAAATTCTCAAAAAAAAAAACACAGATTACATCACTTTGCAGTTTGCACCGCTGAGAGACATCACATTCATGTACATTAAGCTTTGACCTTTCCTGCCTGGGAGGATTGAATTCTCTGTTGTAATTTAAAGATCTGCAGGGAAGAAACAGTTCCAAACGCATCATTATTTGTTACAATGGCTACTCTTTATGCTATTGAGTACACAGCGGGTAAATGACACACAAAATCACTGCAAGTAATTTATGCTATTGAGGTCATTTCAAAATCACTGCATGTAATTTATGCTACTCCTTAAGTCTGTTTAGCATGGAGTCATGGACATTATCCATATATTCCTTTGTGTTCATATTGATCTTGATAAATCATTTACTATAGATGTAGGCCATGAAACATAAATATCAAAGTTACCATTTCTTTCTTGCTGTGCTGCTTTTCTTCTAAATCTTGAAGAGTGGCATCCAAACGCTTCCTGTTAGAAATACTCGAACAATTACTGAAACTACACATGATCTTTTAATGTTTGATGTTTCGTGAGGATGAAAGCTAAAAACTCAGATGTAAATAAATGTTTAACAACTTTATAATATACTCCCTCCGTCCCCTTTTAAATGTCCCGGAAGAGGGTGACACGAGTTTTAAGAAAAGGGGGTTTGTGTGGTTGATTGTAATTGATAAAATAAGAATAAAGTAAGAATGATTTTGAGCCACACAAACTTTACCAAATAATGTATGGGACAATTAAATAGAGACATCCCAATATAGTAAAACGGGACATTTAAAAGGGGACGGAGGGAGTACAAAGTATAATTAAATAGTCCTTGTATGAAGTTCAATTGTTCAGTATTGTGCTTCCATCATGAGGTTGGTAAACTTAATCCATGTACTACTCAAGTAAAAGTGTAAACATGACCATTAAGAACCGTCATTAGCCTGCTTACATGTCTAGTTTATAGTTTCATACTTTCACGTAGTTGTAAATAAATGGATAATGGATCTAGTCAACAAACTCAATAGTATAGGGACTAAATAAAATACTACGTAATAAATATACTAATATAGTGGGCCTAGAGGCTAATCAGAATAATGTAGCACTGAAATAGTGAAATGAACTACAAAACCACCACATAATGCAATAATCAAGACATGTTGCATCATGGTTTATACTTTATATAAAACACCAGAAGAAAATACTTGTCACTATCCTATATCCGGTAGGTGTGGACTTGATCACAGTTCTGAAACTAGATCAAGACCGGAGTGATAAAAACCAGACGGCAGCCTGTTTTTACAGTTCCGGTACCTCCAAAATCGGCTCGAACATGTTCTAGTCGTAGCCTTTTTATTTTAGCTAAAAACTGGTCATGGTTACGGGTAAGGACTCTATTGGACAAGAATCGGCTATTCAGGAACCGGACCAGGTCTGCTCTACTATCAGGGGAAAATTATATAATACATGTGGACATGGCTAGTTTATAGAGGTTGATCCGGTCCCAATTCCAAAACCAGATTGGGACAGTACATATAAAAACCAGCCCTGCAGCCGATTTTTACAGCTCCCTTAACTCCGTATTCTCAGACCAGTTCGTGTCCCTGTTTTATCATTTTTTTTATTTTAAGCTAAAAACTGGTCCGACACCAGGCCAGGTCCACCTAAACATCTGGGGAAAATTATGTTATCCATCTGAATGCAATTTTTCGTTCTAGTATTCTTGTATTTTTTCAGCGAACTACTCATTTAGCATCCCGAAAGAATGATTATTCGAATATAAATATAACTCATTTTATATCTGTAGAAGGCTCAATAGGATGTACAATAATCTGGATAAACTATATAACTACTCAATGTTTTATTTATTATTATCAGAACAATAATCAACCTCAGAATAGAGTAAGTTTACTCCTTATCACTTTATCAAGGCTTAAAGAAACCAGTTAGACCACCTAAAATATATCATAAACACAGCTTACCACAAACAAATTTGAATTCCAAACCTACGCCTCTATGATTTATTTATGTGTTTATTTTACTCCCATTTAGGTTTGAGGTTGTAGCAGTAGCACAGTGTTCTGGTCTACAAGTATAATGTTTCAAGAATGCTGTGTTAGGTCAAACATTAATGGGCTATTTGGTTGCAAGAGTAAAAATTCGCAGAATACATTATTCCAGCATAACTCCAAGGAGTAAGAAGTTTGTCTGGAACTCATTTTCCCATCGCAATAAAAAAAACATTTGACCCCAACTTTGTGGAAAGGAATTGCCACTCCACCAGAAGGAATTGTAATTCTGTATGAGTATGGAGAAAAAAAAAGTAATTTATGTGTTTGGCAGTTTGACGCCCACCAAAGCTACACCAATGTTTGCAATTATGTGTGCACCAATCTCAAATGTGGAGTTTCTTTATTAGAGCCATTTTAGTTGTAATGTCAAATATTCACATATTGTTACAAAGCAATAAAAAAATGTTAATATTTCTATTTGGTTCTATTCCCACAACTCAAAATATGGTACTTGAAATATTCTTTATCCCCTACTCCCTACATGTTCTTCTCTCACTGAGGCACAAAATTTATATTCAATTCCACCTTTATTCCACCTGAGCATGCAGGGATCAGAGCTCAAGTGGGAGGAAATGAATAAGCCAACAATATGTTTTTATGCACCGTACGGATGTTTTTAATTAGAGTAAAATTTTATGGTTTGGTTCGGTCTGTTCTGATCTGAACTGGTGCGGTAGATGTCTGGTCTATGTGTTCCATACTATTGAAGTCTAATTTGTTTTGTTTAGACACGGTCTAGTCTTAGACCGAAACCAGTCCAACTAAAAACATCCTAATAGGTATGTGTGTGAGTGTGTTCAATCCCCACAGCATGCAAGCAACGGGTAGCCAAGCACAAATTTTATTGAGTATCATGACATGCCCAAAAAGGCAAAAATGAATCCAAAATTTAGAAACTACTCCAACAATCCATCCTTGAATTACATAGTCAGCCTGAAAATTGACTAATCTAAAACTCACCAAGCTTTACAGGTAAGTAGTTCGCACAAATCCCCCCCCCCCCAAACCTCAAACATGGCCACCCCTTCACTTATCTGTAATGATAGTTTCTAGTTTTCTACCACTCAATTTGCACAAAGCTGGATTCAACATTTCAAAGACAAAAACGATGGGAGGATGTGGGTTCTGTGTCTTTCCCTAAAGATAGGCATTTGGTCATGGCCATTCAACATAAGTCCAGACGGACCTCTTTTGGTGGTGGAATTGAAGTGTGGAGACCAAGCATGGGGTAGGAATGCTCAGGGAACGTTCAACCGGAACTGATCAATTGTCCCAGTAAGACAGACAATGATGCCTGCCTATGTTTGGAGAAACGCGTAGCTTAGGGGAAAGGCGCTTAAACAGCAGTTCATGATCAATATGTTTAATACTCCATACACTACAAAAACCAGACATAAATGAATTAACATACAATTCGGCTGAGATGTAATCAATTCGCTTCTTGACATTGGCGCTAGCCTCTGCCAGGTCCTGCTTCACCAGAACTGGCCCAATCAGTTTGTACACACTGGCGTCTTCATTCAAGAGATCCAACTCCTAAGTTGGCAAATTTAACACATAGAATAGAATCTATAAGCAATAGTCTCCAGAGAAGTAAAAAATGCATAGAGTACATAAAGATTTGACCTTGAGGACAAGCTCGTTTTCACCTAGTTGAATGGTGTATTTCTTTCGGACTTGATGATTCTTGGCTATATCTGAAAGACGGAGCGCATAATTTACTATGCATATATACAGAGACCAAGACTAAGAATAGGGTTTAGTTGAATGGAAGAAAAACGTTGCCTTTTTGAATTTGGCTAAGATCGTTCGCTTTGCTCTCGAGGTCGCGTTGCATTTCCCGCAGAACGTTTGAGGAAGACATTTCTCACTGATTCACCCCAACAGACACGCAGTGCTTGGGGGATTTTTGCCAAGAGTTAATCAAATAGATTAACAATGTTTCACCAAATAATACAATGTTTAAGGGGAAAAAAGTCTAAAATAGTATTATCCGGAAGAGTCTGGAACTGGAGGAAGAGTCGGAGTCGGACAACCGCAGAAGGAAGACGCCGAAGCAGGGCCGCGGACGGCGGCGCGGCTTGTGAACGCTGGTGACTGTCTTCGTCGTTAATAAGTTAAAATTAGAGGGAAGGGTCAATTTAAGACCGGTCCTTCATTATACGAAGCACTCCGTTCTTGGTCGTTTCGCATAGGAACAAGCGCACCACTCATGTTCAATGAGGAATATTAGCGGCACTTGTTTGTTTCTTCATCAAAGTGACTTTTTTTCCGAAATAATGCTAATTAAATAAATAATTCTCAAAATACTGCTGAGTTAAAAATAATTCCCAAAATACTGTTGGGATTAACTACATTTATGGAAAGCCGTCACTTCAAGTGATGGCTCTTATATTGACTGCAATTTTAGATGCAAATATTTTTCGTTTAGTGGTATGTGCAGGAATTTATTCTCGTATTCATGCCCACCCATTTCTTCCTCTTCGCCTTCCAAATTTATCAGCTTCCCCCACGGGCCTCCATGCCACCGTCTAGCAAAGCATATCAAAATCCAATATCGCCACCCCTCCAACAACTTCTCCTCTTCCCGTCTAGCATCACCCTCCTCCATCCCTATCCTCTTTCTCCCTCCCTCTCTATGACAAACAAACATATAAACAATAAAAGATTAAAGGTATATTTTGTGGATGAACAATTACGTAGTATTAGTAAGATTCAATAGAATTAAAGAAACACAAAAAAAAGAATCTTTATGATTAGGCGAAGATTGAAAGTATGGTGGCGGGTCGGTGGAGAAGGGAAATCCTAAAACCTATTAATAATTCATTAAGAAAAAGAAGGATAGAGTTCTTAGGCACATGGTTTAAATACTTAGGCATAAAAACGAAGATGGTGAAGGTAAGGAAAAGTACTGCGGTAAAGAACGGGAATTTACAAGGAATTCATAAACACAAGAGCCGCCACTTCAAGTGGCAGCTTTTGTACTGCGCATTTAATCATGGTTAACTCCAACAATATTTTGGGAATTATTTTTAATCCAACAGTATTTGGGGAATTATTTATTTAATTAGCATTATTCCAGGAAACATCCCAAATTTGTTTAAGCTTGAAAGAAAACATCCCTAGTCTCTAGAGATATATGGCTTGAAATTGACAAAATAAGGGTATTTGTTGTTAACATGAACTATTATTTGTTGGCTACTCTTGTATCCCATGAACTATGAACTATTACATTGGTTGGCTACTTGGCTCCCATGCAGGAAACTACTTGATTGACTGAATTATACTCTCGCTATTATTTGTTCTAAAAGTAATTGCCCTTTATTATTATTATAGAACTAAAACGCAGACAACTTAATTGTAATAGTCTTTACGTTTTATTCCCACTTTAGAACCAATAATATGTGTCTATTCAAAAACTTTCACATTTGTATAATTTCTAACATTCGGTAGTGGAGATGTCAAAGTTTGCACATTAGTTTCTTCTATAGCATTTTATTTGTACTTTCACAATCTATATGTCAACTAAATGAGGATCAATGTGACATGTATTTTGCAGTCAATACGACACTGTTGTTTGATTATGATAACATTGATAATGATAATATAATGGCGTAGAGAACTCTTCTTGTCAGGCCGGCCTGACGGGAACCTCCGTCCGGCCGAGCCCGTTTTTATATGTATATTTTGACGCAGTCAACTTCAAAAAAAGATTTGAATGCCTTCTCGATCGAATTTTGAGCTGAAATTTGGTATGGACAAATTAGACTTGATGAAGAACATGCTCAAAAAATTTCATCAAAAAATTCCACCGGAAAGGTTGCCAAAAGGGCTTGGCCGGACGGCTCTCCCGGTCAGACCGGCCTGACATGATGACACTATAGTTCGTTGGAATGGCTACAATGTTTATGAGAAAGGCATCTTTGACATCTATTCGACTATTCACACTTGTACTCCTATCAAGTGACACAAAAAGAATGATCATATTTTGACACTCACTATGTCTTAATCTTATGTGGATCATATGTCAAATTTTATTCTCAATGTTTTTGGCATGTCAAAGTTTTCTACTTGTTAGTTTCTATTCTGAGAATAATTGATGTGGTTATATCTGCAAATTATACCGTGCAACCAGTGCACTATGAGGATGGTGTGCCCGGTTGCAAAATGGCTATCATCTCCTCCCCAAACATTGGAGTTACATAGCTAAAGTTACAATTTGTAACACACGGTTTACATTTCAAATTTTCTCAATAGTTACATCTTGATTATACTGGATTTACATTTGACATACCACGAGTTACATCACACAGCTACGCAAGGTACACAACAAAAATCCAAATTACATCTAATTTGTTACCCAAGTTACATTTCAATAAAAACAATTTACATTTAAACAAGTTACATGTGAATGAGTGCAATTTACATTTTAATTAACTTGAAGTTACATCTCGAATCACACGAGTTACATTTCATATAAACATGGGTCATGGTATGGCTACTGGGTTATGTCGACTTTCTTTTTTCGATAAATTGTGAATCTTTCTTTTTTGAAATATGCTCTTGATTTGATGTTACATACTCCGTATCATGATGCTAAATTGAATTCAGTTTTCCTATTCGCTCATCAACTTTATTCATTTGCATTCATATATTTTGAGAACCAACAATCCATTTATACTAGGGAAAAGGTGCAAATAGGCCCATGTACTAACAAAAAAAGGTCAAATAAGCCCTTATTTAGGAGGCTCTGTTCGGCCGTCGCCATTTGGAGTGGTTCCCGATGGAATTTTTTGATGAATTTTTTTAGCATCTTATTCATTAAGTCTAGTTTACTCATACAAAATTTCAGCTAAAACTTCAATCGGGAAGGCATTCAAATGAATTCTTGAAAATAACTGCGCAGTTAGAAGCGCAGTTATCTTCAAGAATTCATTTGAATGTCTTCCCGATTGAAGTTTTAGTTGAAATTTGGTATGAGCAAACTAGACTTGATGATTAAGATGCTCAAAAATTTTCATCCAAAAATTCCACCGGGAACCACCCCAAATGACGACGGCCGGACAGAACTTTCTAAATAAGGGCCTATTTGACCTTTTTTTATTAGTACATGAGCCTATTTGCACCTTTTCCCTTTATACTAATAAAATTCATACTTTAGTTCCTATGTAAATAAATGTTCCCTTCATTCCAATTCAAGGATCTTTGTGCGGATTACATTGATTGACTAATAATAAAATTAAAATTTGTTGATGATGTATAGATCATTTTTCATAATTTAGATACAGATATTTAGAAATTATGTAAGAAGCTCTATTCAAACGCAAAAAATTTAAAATTACTACAACTATGTAATTAAGTGTACTGTGTGAGTTGTCTAGAAACCTTAAAATGAAACAAGGAGAGTAACACTAAGGCCATGTTTGCAAATTGCAAGTGCTTCTTATATAATTTAATACTCCTTATGTGTTTTCAAACTCAATCTTATACTTAAATTTAATCACTTTTAAGTGAAAAGACCGAATTTGAAGTGAACATGCTTTTATGTGCTTCTTCGTAATTTGGTAAATAACTACAGTTGATGAAACATTATATTGACAATTTGTCTTTCTATATCCGTTAATGTTCTTCCTCCATGAAATTTCTGACAAACCATCAAAATTCCAATCTCCCAATTCTTCTCTGTGTAGCTACACCACTGCTAAATACTCTTTAATATTGATGGCACTTCAATATTGAAATACAAGCAAATAGTTTGGCTAGGTCGACTATTTTAACGTTCTGACAGAGCAAATCTACTTGATTGATTATAAAAATACAAGTAATTGTGAAATAATGGGAAAGAGGTACTCCAATAGGAGTTCTGACAGATATATTTATAATAGAGGAGTTGCCAAAATACAAAGTATTCCTAAATAGATATTAGGCAGATTCCTAAATATATATTAGGCAGATTCCTAAATATATTAGTCTATTACACCCCCTCAAACTGTGCGGGAGATACAACGAGCAGGTTGTCTTTTAAAAAATGAAATTGCAAACAAAAAAACTCTTAGTAAATATATCCGTGAGCGGAAGATTAGAAGGCACATCTTTGACAATAAGATCTCCATGAGAATATATGTCTGCAGCAGTAAGCGGCGAACTCAACAACGCGCTTGAAGCAAGCATCGTGGTCAGCGACGCAGAGAAGGTGGGCTGCGCCCCAGTAGTCCTAGCCGTAAACGATGGATACTAAGCGTTGTGCGTATCGACCCGTGCAGTGCTGTAGCTAACGCGTTAAGTATCCCGCCTGGGGAGTACGTTCGCACGAATGAAACTCAAAGGAATTGGCGGGGGCCCGCACAAGCGGTGGACATAACCTGAGGGGGCTAATAGTAATTAACCCTAAATTTGATTAATGAATATGAAAAGCAACCTGAAACATAAAGAAACAATAAAAAACAAAAATCTAAGCATTGTAAACAAAAAAAAACAAAAAGAAATCATAAGAAACAAAAATTAGCAATAAAGTGATAATACTAATAATTAAAATTTTAAGTACTTTAATAAAAACAACATTAGAAAATTTGTATTTTGAATTTTTTTGCATGTGTAATTATTTTTCAATTTCATCTTTTTAATTTCTCATATTTTAAAGGTATGCTTTTATTGTAGTTTTAGTCTCTTTTAAGTTACATTAATTTTTTGTTTTTTTACAAATTTATTTTATTTATTTTACTAGAAAAAATTGTGTGATGTGTTTTTTATTATATAAATTTAAATTTAAACTTTTTTATTTTTTTGTTTTCTAAACTTTTACATATTTATTTGAATTTTTATTGTTTAATCTAGTGTCTATTCTAAGACTTATACTTGTTTTGATTTTTTAAAACTATTTTCATGTTTTTTAATATTTTAAATTTTTTATTTTTTATTTTGAAAGTTTAAGTTTCTAATTTTTAAAGTTTAATTTACTTTTTTTCATTTTTGAGAAATTTATATTTTTTAATTATTTATACTTTTATATTTATAGATTTCGCATTATTCATCAAATTAAAAAATTTATTTTTATAAATTATGGAGTACAAACAATTTATATGATAATGGTAATATATACAAATATGAACTATTTTTATAATTCATATGGTTTCTTTTATTTTATAAAATTTATTTTGAATTTTATGCATGGATTCAAATTTTATATATTGATTATGTTTTTAGATCTCTTTTCTTTCTTTATTTATCGATTTTTTGAAAAATTACTCTTTCATAAAATTTTCTTATTACTTCTGTTGTTTTAATAATTTCAAAATATTTATCAAATATAACCCTTCAACTCCAATATATCTTGAGCTGTTTTAAAGTCTTCCGATCCTCAACAAGCTTACCTTATGTCTCTCGCTTCTCTCTAGGGCTTCGGCCGCTTGGAGTCTTTTTCCGTCTTCGATTTTAATCGAAGGACGGTCGCTATTTTCGTCTTCGATTTTAATCGAAGGACGGCTGTTGTTGTTTGTGCTTCGTCCTCGAAGGGCGGGTTTGCTGTCATGGCTCGAGGAGATCGGCGTTGTGGTCAAGGTTCGAGGATGATGCGTTGCTGTCGTTGTCGGGGAAGATCGGTGCCGCCTATCCATTTACCCTGGTTGCATGGGGCAGGGATGAGTTTGGTTATGCAGGGGCGGAGGATTGATGCATGGTCTTTGGCAGCCAAAGGTCATGGAGGATCAATTAGCATGGTACCAGTGGTACGACCTCCTCCTGAACCACCACCATGGGATGTACGAGGTACTAGAGTTCGTGAACGTTTTTCTTGTAGTTTTTATCTGTTTGTTATTTGTTTTCTTGTGTCCATTTTTGTTGTTGGGTTTGACAGTTTGTTTGAGTTTTTTGCCTCTCTTTATGTCATTGGGTATGTTTGGATCTATGTGAATAGTTTTGGCTGTGTCAAGCCCACTACATGGTTAGCGATTCATGTTGCTCTCTCAGGGGTGACCGTCTCAAAGTCTCACCATAGGGTTACAGTCGTAGTTGTTGGAGTTTCAGTTGGTGTCTGTTTTATTTTCCCTTTGCTTGATGTAATGATCCTGATGAATCTTTTGATATGAATAGAGTCATGTTTTGATGATAAAAAATAATAATAATTTCAAAATATTTTGATCTTGTTTTGCGTTTTGAATAATTTTTAGGCTTTTAATTTTTTTTAAAAATTTCATTTTTCAGTTTTTTTAATACTTTTGATAGTTTATATAAATTAATTAAACTGTTTAAAATATCATTAGTTTAAGGATATAAATTATTTTTCAATTTTGCATTTTTTGTTATTTTTTAATTTTTTAGATTTTTAGTATTTTTCTTATAACTATCATCTTTTAAAACTTGAGTTTGATAAATGAGTTTTTGTTTACCATAAATTTCCAGTTTTAAACGATTGCTGACAACATCTCAATTTTTTTTTGAGGAAATACAACATCCCAATTTTAAAACTTAGTGATGTCTTAGTAGGTTTCTGGGAAATACATGTTCTGGGATGTAGTGTACAGACTAGGATGTAGTGTACTCCGTATTATGTACGTATACTTAGGATGCAGTATACTCCGTATGTCGAGCTTTGTCTATTATTGAAATGAAAAACTTACTAAAGTCTATTTTTGAGAAAGAGATTGAAGGGTGACAAAAGTGATATTATTTTCAATTTTTAGTCTATTTGTGAAAAGTTCCCTATTTTATTTACTCCGTATGTGTTTCCCTTGACAAATAACTTTGACAAATGATATTTTCAATGCGAAACTATTTTGAATATGAAAATTATATCAAAGTGTTCTTTATTCAAAATATTTTCATAAAAGTATAAAATTTAGAAATTATATACAAATATAATCACTAAATCATTGCCCAAAGTTTGATATCATTAACCAAGAAAACTCAATTTGGCGAACATTTCCACGATGAAGGTAGTATAAATTGCATTAACTTGATCTGTAAATATAAATGTTTTTTGTCTAGGGCCTCCAACTTTCTCAAGCCGCCCCTGGTTATGTGTTTGATGAAAAAGTTGACTATAAAAGGTGAACGCATGAGAACTAGGTCACACTCCAGAGATTTCCCTTGGGAGTAGCTCTTTTTTTCTTTTCTCTTTTTATGTATTTTTTCTGAAATTTCCTTTTTCGCACTGTACTATCTCCTTTTATCAATAAAATCTTCTTTTAAAAAAAAAGGTGATAAACCGAAAAACGGGGTTACCAAACGAGCTCTTTGTGTTATCAAACTAGTTTTTTTGTTGGGATATTTTGACTTTGCACCCCGCTTTTTGGGTGATATTAGTCTTTGCACCACATTTTCAAAACTCTTAGACTTTGCACCCTTTTTTCCTTGAAATGTCTTTGCCTTTGCAGCCCATTCGGGGTTTTTTCTTCACAAAATGTTGTAGATAGGGTGCAAAGTCTAAAAGTTTTGAAAATGTAGTGCAAAGTCCAATATCACCCAAAAATGGGGTGCAAACTCAAAATTGCTTTGAAACCATGTTATCAAACCATGTTATCAAACTACTACGTAATTGCAAACTCAAAAGCATTATTATTCTCGGGCATCTGAAATTATATTTCAGAACATAGAAAGTAAACAGACAATATACATTCAGCACTTGTTCCAGACAGAAGGGTTATTTGGTCATTTAATGTGATTCAGACTTCTCATTCAGCACACTTAGTAAACAGTTTGTTATTCTACTGTCACTTAATCCAGACAGACAGCTTAATGCAGACAGACATCTTAATCCATTCAGGACTTAATGAAAAAAAAAGTAAACAGCCCCTAAGATTTTAAAATGTGAACGGTATAAAATGAAATTATTATAATTATAGTAGTGGAGAAGCAGTAAAGTAATAATTCTGGCCACTTGCTGAAATCTGTACACGCAATTCAGAAAATGCACAAGTTAAAGATGCATTATTTGGCGGTTGGCTATTGATACCATCCGCGTAGATTCCCACTGAAAAACATGCTGTTGCCAGAAGTGTTCGTGCCATTTTTGGAGCTGAGGGAGGTGCCACTATGAATTCGGATCCATTGTTTAGCTCTTCTAGTCGGAATTTTGTCTCTTCCCGGCATCATTCTCAACCTTCCGGCCAATCAAAAGTTTTCCGGTCCAGCCTCCATTTCTCCTCCAGATCTCATTTTTTCCAACAGTCTAATCTAAGGTTGCTCCTATGTAGACTGTACTAGTATTCTCTTTGCACACCTCTAAAGACAGAATTAGTTTTTTTTATCTAATCAAATTCTGTAGTTTTGTAGTTTGGATTCCAGGCAACATGAATGAGAACAAATTTATCTTTTTTGCTTTTTATTCTGTCCTTTTCCTTAAAGTCTAACCTTTTCTTTTCCTTTTTGTTTGATTGGAAAGAAATTTAAGAATGTCTGAGAAAGGCGGGATGTTTTATTCCTTAGGATGGGTTCTTATTTGTTAACCGTTCAGAGCAGTACTCATAATCTTATTGAATTCCATTTCTGTTTTCTTTTAACATTCCAAGCACTGAAAATATGTCATCTGTTTGGTTTTGGGTAAATCGTTCTTCCTGCTTTCATTATAGTTTCAGCCAGTTTGTGAAGTTATTTGATATTTAGGATCTACTTGTGAACGAGAATCTTGGTTTTAAAACCTGGGAGAATCCAATTTTGGAGAACCTCCGAATGTGAGGGTTTTAGAGGTTGAGATGTATTCTACTTTCACATAATTAACCTTGACCGGAAAACAATCTGTTATTACATTCACCTAGGCTAATCCAAACAACATTCTGTACATGCATCTGGGTTCACCTAATTTCACTCTGTTTTTCGGATCTAAGTTGACCAGGTTCTGCCAAACCAAATGGAGCCTAAGAAAGTACAGAAAGCACAAAGGCAAATAGGCAATATGTGTTTTCTGCATTCAAGGCATGTTGTAACTGTTTTAGCAGTATCTGGACAAGCAAATTAGGATCCCATGCATGGTTGATTGGTTGGTATCCATGTAGGACTGCCAGTCCTGCTTTTGTGGTACTGTTTGCCATTAAAAAGAATAGTACAAAAAGTTATAAAACCCATCCAGTTTCCCCCACAAGTTGCAGTTTATGCATTTTCTACTCCTTGGTTCTTGACTTTCTGAGTCAGATCAGTTTATCTTTTTCATCAGATTGGGACATCCCATTACTTGCATCATGTGATTGTACCTTTGTATGACTTATACAATTTAATACTCCGTAGTATGGAATGCATCTATATATTGGTGTGAGATCAATGGAATATAAAGATCAAGAACTGCTCATTGATTTATCTTAGGAAATTTGGAAGCTAAGAAGTATTGAAATGAGGCTTTCATCCATGCTTAATGGGCTTGCAAGGTCCCTCTCATTGAAGAAAAGGAGGAACAGCTCTGATGGTCGCAATTGTAGCGGGAGGGAAGCTGTGGAAGCCATGGCTAAAGTGGCTAAGAAAACTGACATGGTACGGAGATCTTCTGGTTCCATAAATGTCGATTGTTCTCGAAATTTTTCTTCTGTTTTCTCCAAAAGAGGAGAGAAAGGAATCAACCAAGACTGCTTCATTATTTGGGAGGTATATATTCCTCTTCTAATACTCAATGTTATCATTTTCCGGAGGATTTAATCAATATGGTAGGGTTGTTAGAAAATGGAAGTTGTTTCTAGATAGAAATTTAGTAGTCTTCAAATCTATAGGGTACACAGAGCTTGTCTTACATTAACTAGAAACTTCTAAAAAAATGCAGCACTTTTGTTAAGTCATCCAACACGAGTCTAAAATAAAGGTACAAGGTCATATATAAGACTTTGTGCTACTATCAAAATAGCACTTTGTTAAGTCATCCAACACGGGTCTAAAATAAAGATACAAGCTCATATATTAGACCTTGTGCTACTATCAAAATGACTTGCGATGGAACACATTAAGCTATGAGAATCATTTGATCTTAAGTAGGCCTCGCCAACGAGTGCACCGAATTTTAGATTGGTATGCTCAACGAGCCACCAATCTATGATTTAGTATAGGGGTAAGGCTGTGTACATCCGACCCCCTCTTACCCCACCGTTGGTGGGAGCCTTTGCAACAATGGGGTAATGTTATTGTTGTTGTTGTATGCTTAACGAGCCACCAATATAAACTCACATATAAAACCTTGGTCTACTCCTGATATTTTAGAATGAAATCTCATGTTTTCATATCTTTCAATGGTGTTTCTTCTAAATTCCGAGTTCTTTACTTTATAGATATGTGATATATGCAAAATGTAAGCTGTCTTTGCAAAATTTTATGAGGGTGATAGGAGTTCGGATGCCAAGAGGACATGATATTTTGTGGTGTATTTGATGGTCATGGTCCCTGGGGACATTTCGTGTCAAAGATGGTTCGAGAATCAATGCCATCAACCCTGCTTTGCAATTGGCAAGAGTTAATGGCTGAGGCTTCGGTGGATCCGGATTTCGGTTTAGATGATGACAAATTGCTAAGTAAGTTTAACATATGGAAGAACTCTTTCCTGAAGGCTTGTGCAACTGTAGATCATGAACTGGAGCACCACCCTAAAATTAATTCATTCTATAGTGGAACGACTGCCTTAACTATTGTCAGACAGGTCATTCCTCAAATTCTTGAAAGCCATATGTTTTCTGGTTGTCTATGATGGAGTGCAAATTATCTTACTAGCCTCCACGTAAAAGACACGAGATTATTTACATTGCCATAATGGCTTATTGTTAGAACATCACCTCATATTAAGTTGATAAGACTTTGAGTCAAACTGTCTAATAGATTAGACTCAATCTCTTAGTGTGGTTTGGCCCAAGCGCCTTATGACCCGATTGTGAGTATTAAAATTTCATGGAGGTTGATAAAATCCCAATTCACAAAGTTAAAGATCGAGAGAATAATGATTAATATGACTTTGAATTGAAAAGTTATTTTCAGAATAATGGGTTAATAAAACTTTTATTTGAACAAGCTCACTGATTAGATTTACTCTCTTAGTGTAGTGTGGCTCCAACACCTTATGACCTAAACTAATCTTGAACAAGCATTTTACTGAATCCTTCATCTATGAGGCTTTGATTCACTTGATGGATTGAGTAGCTCACTAAATTTCAACATAATACTTTGTAACAAATATCAATGTGCATGGCTACGGTTCATTTTGAGTATAGGGCTAAATTTTGAAAAAACAGTTTATTTCCATTCACTATATATGTTTAAGGCTCCTTAAATTTTGTGCTACATGAAATCCATATTATAGTTGTTGCATATAGTCTCTTCTACAATTTTAATCTTGTTGGATCTGCATATTAATTTTGGTAATAATTTTCGACACTAGGAAAATCTGAAAATGGCTGGTATTAAGTCATTACTCGTAAATTTGCAAGTTGCTGCGCGGAATTGTTTTTTCAGACTCATTAAATTGAACTCCATGTTCTTGCCCCCACCCCTTGGTATCTTGACATCACAGTATTGAGGTTTATAAGTTTTTATCCTTGTAGGGTGAAGAGATTTTCATTGCTAATGTTGGAGATTCCCGCGCTGTATTGGCTACAACCGATGATGATGGGAACATTGTTGCACTTCAGCTCACTGTTGATTTTAAGCCTAATATACCCCGTGAGTCTCTTGCTCTCCCTCACCCACCCTGCCACCTTCCTTTCTAACCATGTACATGTTCTCATTTAAAAAAAAGATAACCTAAGATTCCATCTTAAAAGATCAACCATATATGAGGAGTGATCTAAGCTATTTATAATCTGGGTTTTGCTTTTGTGTTTAGCTTACGACTTAACATAGTATCATCATACCATGCATTAACTGCACTATGCTCTTTCTAGAGGAGGAAGAGAGAATAAAGCAGTGTAATGGGCGCGTATTCTGCTTGCACGATGAACCAGGGGTGCATCGACTCTGGCTTCCCAATGAGGAATCCCCAGGCCTTGCAATGTCTCGAGCCTTTGGTGACCATTGTGTGAAGCATTGCGGACTTATTTCTGTACCTGATGTGACACAAAGGCAAATAACAAACAGAGACCAATTTGTGGTTTTGGCAACAGATGGGGTATGTTTGATGTCCCCCTTCTCTGTTTCGAATCTTGTGATGTTTGGGATTTAATAACATCATTTTAATTAGCATTTTTGAAACACCAACTTAGAAACTCCTTCCACTTTTAGTACTTATATTTGAATTTTTCCCACTTTTCCCCCTAGAAGACCAAAAGTTTTATTGTCACATTTTTAGGATAATAAGTTTCTCACATTAGTGAAAGACTAAAATGGAAAAGTCCAACGATGGGTACGGAAAGTGTCTCTCTTTCAGGGGGTAAAGTGGATGAATTTAAAGACAACAAAATGGTCAAAAATGGTCATTGTTATAATAGCCATTTGTACTTAAAGTGGGTAAAAAATTATCAAACTAAGGGCACCCAACTTTGGTGCTTCCTTCATACAAACAGAACAACTTGATGTATATGGAAAAAAAATCATTGAAGGTGTGGGATGTCATATCCAACCAAGAAGCCGTGCAAATCATATCAACCACAGCAGACAGGGCGAAAGCGGCTAAGCGGCTTGTTGAAAGTGCGGGCCATGCATGGAAGCGCAAGCGGAGAGGAATTGCAATGGATGATATTTCTGCTATTGTTCTCTTCTTCCATTCTCCCCCCTTTTGTGAGCAACACAGGGTTCGTAGACACTAACAGTTGATTAACTTCACAAAGTGAAGAGTCACACAGAACAAACAAAAAAACATTCAGCAAACTGCTGTGCTTTATTTCATTTGGTGGAATGGTAGAAATCATTCCTTTTCCCTTGAGTTGCTTGATTGCCTTTACCAGATTTCTTTGCCGTTTTGAAGGATTCTTTTACTCCGGTCCCTTATCCTTGAGTTGCTTGTTAACATCACGTTATCTAAATCTTAACAAAATATAAACTACATACAGATTGAACACATTTTCATCAATTTTTCATTCTCATGCTAATCTAACTTTTCTTCAATGGAATGTGGCCTAGCTCTGATACATTATTCTAAACCAAATCTTCAGCTATTACATTAAAATCAATTGATTCTGTCTTTTTGAAACATATCTTGTAGTGACATTAATTAGACCTAGCTCTTATACATTATTCAGATACTCCGTATGAAATTTCAGAGTAGAATCTTAGAGCCCATTTGGTAGAAGGAAAATCGGCTGGTTTGGCTGATTCTGCTAAAATTTCTGAAGTTCTGGCTGAAGTGGCTGCATTGGTTGATTCTGCTGATTTAAGAAAAAAATATTTTTAAAATATATTTTATTAATAAAATAAAGAAAAAATTATTTGTAAAAATAGTTAAAATGGTCATCTACAGTAACTTTAGCCAATACAGCCAGAAAAGTAACTCCAATTTTACTTTTTCTGCTTATTACACAATTCAACGCGCTAAAGCAAAAATTACGTGTTTGGTGGAAAAGTTGGCTGATAAGCCTGATAAGCCGAAAAGGGGTGTTACCAAATGGCACCTTAACCTATTGAACCTAGCTCATAATTAATACGATAGTATTGTACATTGAGTTGTTATTATTATTGTATATTAACCCAATGTGACAAATATTTGAGCAATATCAAATAATCAAATAACCTTCAAATATTAATACTTCATTCACCTTGATGCTACCACTGATCTTGACGAAGGGCATTCTGACAAATCTCACAAAGTCACAACTCACAAGTATCGTTGAAGTGATTTTTAAAAAGTAAAACTAATGTTCTGGAAAAAATGATAGAAGAGTTAAAAGTTTCTCACGCTTACCAAACAAGTGTTTAATTTAAGTAGAAAGACAAACTAAAAAACATTTTTTTTAAACTTTTTTAAAGCAAATAAAAACATTTTAAGCAATGTAAAACGCTCATCCAAATTTTAAGAGCCCCTATACTAATCTAGAATAAATAATATTGATTTAAATAAGTGTAAAAATAATGTGCAATTCCAAATGAGGAGCACTAACTTTCCTGTTCTTTAAATACAACTATACAGTAGCTAATGTCATGCTAGAGATATATAGTCAATTATGACATTGTTAAGATCTGAGATTCCATCCTAAAAGGTCAACCTGATAGGAGGAGTAGCCCAGATCTTCATATACTATTTAGTTGTTTCAGAGATGTCCCGTGTGGGACAACAACACCCCTCCTCACGATCAGACACTTCGTCTGGATCGTGCATTCATTCATTTTTTCATCGTTGTTATTTTTTTTATAAACATCGTCATTTTTTCATAGGGTTTATAAGGAGCCCACACCATGATCATGGATCGATTTGGCTCTGATACCACGTGTCTTAACAGACATTAATATTCTCAGATTAATGCCTAGTCAATCAATGTCTCGTAATATCAAAACACGACAATATAATATTGGGATTATAGCACGTTACTCCTATTTGAAGAAAAAATATACTCCGTACTCCGTAGTATTCCTGTAAGAATTTCAAATTATTTTTACCCATTTTTCCTCTAAAATACAATGCCTTTTGTAATAAAAATGATATCCACTTTTAATATGAAATAGTACTCGAAATAGGATTTAAAAAGTTTAAAAATTCCAAAATAGGACTGCCATGTTTTTATTCCCAAAATAGGACTAATTACTGTCATGTTTTGGCAGTACCAGACTTCAAACATGACAATATTTTCCAAACTTAACAGTAATTACTCCTATTTTGGAAATAAAAAACATGACAGTCCTATTTTGGAATTTTCAAACTGTTTTAGTCCTATTTCGGGAACTTTCCCTTTTAATATCTAAACATTAACGTAGTATTAATCTACTTTTAAATTTGGTGATTAGTGATCACATTTTTCAAGATAAAATTCTAAAAAACTGTAATTTTTTAACCAACTAAATCAAAAGAACTTGTGTATATGGAGTATTATATAGATTGGCGTAGCTCGAAAAAGTATTGGAGTAAACACAGAAAGATTTTTTTCATATAAATTTTTACAAAAAGTTTTTTACACACGATTTAAGTATAATTTCTTACCAATTTATGGTGGGTAGGAGTGTAGGACCACGCAAGGCCAAGTTTTTTACACACGATTTGAATTCTCAAAACTTTAGGTTTTTTCATGGGTGGAGGTAGAGGACCAACTTAGGCCATGACTCATCCCAAATTTTAAAAAATGCCTTATTTTTTATGGCCTTATAATTTTTTTTGAAAGTAATCTTTGTATCGGTGCAATCCAGCTCAATGCCCTTGCTCCGCCCTTAGATCTTTTAGAGTGTGTTTGAGAGTTGGTTTTTGGGAGGAAAGAGAAGACATGTAAGGTTGTAATGTTGTATGACTCTCCTATTTGTGTTTGAGTGTTTAAGAAATGTGGATCAGTAGTTTTGGAAGATTTTTGTAACTCTCCAACACCTCTAAAATGCTCGATTTTTAAGTTTCTCCTAAATGAGGGATTTTTAAGGATAATTAACTAAATGATAATTTAAACTCCATTTAAAATGAATGTCAATTGAACCATTTGAATTCATCATATTTCAGTAGTAATTGTAATTATAATTCCTTCCAAGATTCTCTTTTTTCAAATTTACTCCAAATTTGAAAGGCTTTCCGTCTCTTTCCTTCCAAACTCCCAAACACACCCTTAGTGTGGAGTATCAATAATGCAACAATTCTTGCATGTTCTAATGATAAGACAAAACATATGAGCACGCAAATTATAGGTAGAACTATATCTCTTTTTGGATAAGTATATTTACAGCTCTCTTTTTTCAACGAGCAGATAATCCTTATAGAAAAGCAGCGAAGTGATCAAAATGGTCTAATGATAATTGATAAGCTAAGGAAGCAAGTCTCTTGAAGAGTAGAATGGTGGGAGTATGCTATATATTAATATATGTTACGTAGGGTTCGGTTCAGAAGAGAATACTTCTTAACGTGATAAATGAAACAAAACAATGCACAATTATTTGAAACGTCAAAAATGGTTAATTCGCCGTTATCCAAACACAGATTACATTGTAGTTACTATTAAGTATATATATATATATACATATATATATATATATATATATATATATATATATATATATATAGGGGTGAGATCCCATGCAAACCAAGCTTCCCGTGCTAACCTACAAACCAACAACATCCGTTGGATTAAATCATGCGGACGGCTGATGTTATTGAAACGCGCTGCACTGAGCCGTATGAGAAAAAACGGATAACACCGTTTTATAGCTTTAGGCATTTAAAAGGTCACAAATGTAATTTGGAAAACAATGATATCCCACTAATTGATTCGAACAGTGCTATACTTCCCACTAAACAACTAACAATCCAAATATATGTAAATTATATAATGTAAGTGGCAGACAAGGTAACCCCATGATATGATTGAAGTTAATCATAAATTGAAAAGTAATTTACCTTTTTGTAATTAATAATTTCTATGAATCAATCGGTTCTTAATAAACCTCTATTTTCGAAACTTAGCTCCTATTATCCAATGAAAAAGTTAATATTTCAACACAAGTAGTATGCATTTTATAACACTTTATATTAAGATTACGAGATGTGCATCATATATTCGTAATGTGTGCAAAAATTATTTTAGAAACTCATATTGATAAAATATGTCGATGTTGTGTTTTATAAGTTCATCATTGCATTTGAGTAAGATGACAAGTGCATATGAGAAGTAAACATACGTGTGAACTGCATATTACGGTTGTGAGATGTGCATTGTATAAGTATAACGTGTGCATATGATAATATTTTACTTAAAGTGCATAATAAGGTTATGTGATATGCATATTAAGGATGAAGATCTATTGATTGCATCTTATTGTTATGACATTTGTATTTTTAGTTCACATGTTGCATTTTATTATTATGACATGTGCATTTTGGAAGTCCGTATATTGCACTTTAGTAAGATGCATAATTTATATTAACTTCTAACATATAAATTTGTAAGAAGTGAACGCATGTAAAAGTGTCTGCATATTAAAGTTATAGAACGTGCATACTAAGGTTAATTGATGTGCATCTTATGGTTACGAGATATGCATTATATATTTATAATACCCTCCTAACTTATATTAGAACTATATAGTCATAAACATGTCAACGCTGCATTATAGTAGTCCACATCTTGAATTTTATCATTATAACATGTGCGATTTAGAAGATTGTGTATTGCACTCTATTAGAAAGTTATGTGCGCTTTAAAAGTTCATACTACATCTTAACGCTATGGCATCTGCATTATTTTAGGAGCTCATATGTTGCAATTTAATATCATTATGACTTGTGAATTTTAGAAGTCGTATATTGAATTTGGTCAAATGAGCTCTCATTTTCACTTTAGAAGTTACTGCATCTTATCACTATGACATCTGCATTCTACAGTCAATTGACATGCATACTAAATTCATGATGTTACATAATGCATAATGCATGATCAACGGAAGAACACCATACCTATTTCAGGCAGATTAAGCTAATAGCACTTAAACATTATTTATTTTGTATAAATATGAATTTGATGAATTTCATGAAGGCAAAAAATCAAAACGTTAAAATATGATTAATCTCATAAAAAAAAATTACTAAAATGCAAAATTTTATGGGGACGAAGGAGTAGGAGATGGAGATAGATTAAAAAAAAATCACGAAATTAGGGTTTAATATCAGAATCCATGACCTCCCCTGTTAATGGTGGTGAAGAAGTTACAGCGAAAGCAAATTTGTACGATGAAGAAGAAACAAAATTCTTAGATGAGAATGAAGAAGAAAAGAAAATAACAATGAAGAAAAAAATACGAAGAAAATAACAATGAAGAAATAGAGAATGCTTCATTATCGAAGAAAGAAGAAAAGAAAATATGGAGTAACAATGAAGAAGCAGTTAGGGAAAGAGATCGTGTTTTCCAAAATTAAAACAAGCTAAAAAGACTTAAAGACCCCTGAATTGATTAAGTTAAACAACCGCTCCATTGTACTGAACGCATCGCACGTAAGATTAAATAAGATGAATGGCTAGGATTAGGTTTGTAGGTTAGCATGTTAAGATGAGTTTGCATTTGATCTCTCATATATATATATATATATATATATATATATATATATATATATATATGAAAATAAGTTTATGAAGCGGCCCAGCCCAGCAAGTCACCGACTCACCCCCCACCCCCCAAAACACTCAGCCCAACCCAGGGAAAACAAAAAAAAAATTGAAAAATAAAATAAAAATAAGAATAGGCTCGAACCGGGCCGGCCCTGCCCGGCGGTTCCTATTTTGGCGGACCCGAGCCCGCCCTATGAAACCCCCGGGTCGGGCCTACCCGGATCGGTCTCTGGCCGGGCCGGTTCCAAACAATGTCGGGCCGGGATGGGCCACGGGCCGGGATGGGCCACGGGCCGGTCGGCCTAGAACCGATCCATCACTAATTGTTACTAATATGAAGTATAAATACTTTGTGAAACTTATAAATTTTACACTTTTAAGATAATATCATTAAAAAGAACTTTTTTTTCATTGTAAATTTTCAATATCTAGCCATTTTACACTAATACCAGACGTATGACACTGAACATTTTTAGTCATTGGGTCGTTGTGTCCGTGTTTCAGGTAACAAATTGAAAGAAGTAGCTAGAAACAATTAGGATCACACGTTTTTCTATGTATAATTAGCCTCCTTCTCTAGTCTAGTTATCCTGATATATATGAAGTATGTAATATCAACTAAGAGCATCATCAATGCTATACTGTTAACATGCTATAAATCTTGACACATGGCAATTAATAAATGGAATTGTCATCCACTTCATCTTCAAGTGATATAGGTATACGTTGAAATCCCAAAATTACATCCAATGCATGATGTTGACATCGCATATATATCCACCATCGTGCAGTGTAACCATATTTTTTTTTAAAATTGAAAACCTCTGTTGAAGCAATCCAGTTGTGCCCCATGTCATTCCGGCAACGGCCAATACTGCTCCCGACGGTCTCCGTGATGGAAACGACTGACAGCAGTAATCACGGTGTAGCAGTACCACTTCAACTAACGTGTTGCCCGGCGGACATGCTACTGCACTCCGGCGAACGATCCTCCGGCAGGCTGCGTTTCATCTCCTTCGTTGGAGACAACCTTCTCTTCCCCCTTTTCTTCTGAAGATGATAACCGGCGGCAGAGCATCTTCAGAACGCAGTCCGGCGAACAAGCAGTGGCAGGTTTCACCCTTCCGGCGATGGTAACGGCAGCTAGCTCTGGCGTGAAACGCAGTCCGACAACCCTTGCAACAGCTCTCCGGCATACGTCTCTTCCCTAGCTTGGAGACGGTCGTACCCCATCCCGCCCGCCTTGAACGTACAATACGAAGCTTCAATCATGAGGTGGGGGTGAGTTTGGGACATTGGGAGGGATAATGTTTTAGGCGGATATTTTTTTTTAATCGGCAGATACCCCAAATCCGATGACTCAGCATGTGAAATGTACTGTTATAGGAAGACAGTGATGTATACAGTGTTACGGTTATTTTTTGACATGTCAACTTTACATGAAGGTTTACATCCTGCGTTGGACACTTTTTTTCTACCCCAATGTCAAATTAGCATGACGTAGTCACTATTTTTAATGTGAACATTGTCCGGCTGGAGATGCTCTAAACATTATATTCTCATATTCCTCGCATCTAACTTTCCCTCCCACCAATTGAATCCATCACATACCTTCTTCCATAACGAGAATAACTAACATCCCTAAAAAATGCTATAAAAATTGCTTCACTTACAATTATTGTTCTCCCGCATTCAGAGGAGAGGGTCAAGCACCTCCTTGAGCCCGGCCCTTCTTCACATTCTTCACATATATTGATTTCCTTAGGAAAATAAGAGTTGTAAACAAAAAAACAAGAAATAATCTAGCTCGGGAGAAATGGCAGAGGAGGAAAAGAAGAAAAACATGATCGTCCTGGGCGTGTGTTCGCTACTTCTTGTGGCGATGGTGATTGGCCTGACAATAGGGACGGGAGGCCGTGACACGACCGTTCGCAAGGAAATAAGCTCATCTGAGAAGGCGATCCAAGCCATATGCCAACCCACCTCCTACCAAGAGACTTGCGTCAAGAGCCTCGAGTCCTCCTCGGCAGCCAATGCCACGGATCCAAAGGAGCTCATCCAAGCCTCCATGGAGATTACCATTAAGGAAATTCGCAATGCAATGAACAATTCAACATTATTCAAGGAGGTCCGTCAGGGGGACAAGAGATCCAAAGATGCGTTGGATAACTGCCACGTCTTGGCAGAACGTGCCATTGACGATCTGAATAGGACATTCGAAAAGTTCAGTGAGTTTGATCTAGCCGATTTAGATAACTGGTTATCTGACTTGCAGACGTGGCTTAGCGGTTCCCTCACGTATCAAGAAACCTGCCTCGATGGGTTCGAAGGCATCCCAGGAGATAGTCAGACCAAAATGAAAAACCTTCTCAGAACGTCAATGCAATTGACGAGCAATGCTTTGGCAATGGCAACTGAAATATCGTCTGTCCTCTCAAATTTGGGCGTTGAGGGTATCAGTAGCAGTGCTAACAAACGCCGCCTTCTCTCAGACAATGAAAATGATAAAGAACATGTCGTTGGACATGATGATGAATTTGAGGGAGAAGCAACTCCTGATTGGGTCGAGGCCGGAAGGGGAAGGTTGCTTACAGCCAAGACGTCACACATCAAACCTGATCTCATCGTGGCCAAGGATGGGTCTGGGAAGTACAAGACAATAAACGAGGCATTAAAGGATATCCCGAGGAATAGTAACAACACATTTGTTTTGTACATCAAAGAAGGTGTTTATGAGGAGCAAGTTACATTTTACCGTAACATGACACATTTGATGATTATGGGAGATGGTCCAACCAAGACCAGAATCACTGGAAAACTAAACTACGTTGATGGAATTTCCACTTTTCATACAGCAACTGTGGGTAAGTTCATCCTGATCTTAGTAAACTTTCTAAGATCATAAACAGATCAAATATAAAGAATTACATCACTCATTCATTCATTTTATAACTTTTATGATGATAAGAAAACTTTACATCTTAGAGCTCATTAGTAATCTAAACATACATACATTTCAATATTGTAGCTGCATTGGGAGACTATTTCATGGCTAAAGACATCGGGTTTGAGAACGCAGCCGGGCCAGAGAAACACCAAGCGGTGGCATTGAGAGTTGGCGCGGACAGATCAATTTTTTACAACTGTCAAATGGACGGGTACCAGGACACTCTGTATGCCCACCTCTACCGCCAATTCTACCGGAATTGCGTCATCTCTGGAACCATAGATTTTATATTCGGAAACAGCGCTGCCGTGCTCCAAAACTGCACATTGGTGGTGCGAAAGCCATTGGAGAATCAGCAGTGCATTGTGACAGCGCAGGGTCGGATAGACCCGCGCCAACCCACAGGCCTTGTCTTACAGAACTGTAGCTTCATGGCCGACCCGGAGTACCAACCGGTCCGGTTCACACTCAAATCGTACCTCGGCCGGCCCTGGAAAGAATATTCCCGAACCGTGATCATGGAATCGTACTTAGAGGACTTCATCCAGCAGGACGGGTGGTTGCCGTGGGCAGGCGATTTTGCACTCGAAACGCTCTTTTACACCGAGTACAACAACCGAGGCCCGGCTTCTGGCAAGGAGAACCGTGTGAAATGGGGAGGTGTCAAGGAGCTTCCATTGAATCGGATTGAGCGGTTCACAGCTGCCCGGTTCTTACAAGGTGAAACCTGGATTAAAACAGTTCCTGGTCTTCCCTATAACCCTGGTTTCATTTTCCCGCCTCCTAAACCTAACACCACAATTACTTACTCCCCGGTGGAGCCCGACGAGACGAAAGATATGGTGGCTCCGGAAGATAAAGCGGCTTATGATCCTCCCAAAGTCGCTCCGGCTCCGGCGCCAGTTCAGGATCCGGTTCCTGTTTCGGTTTTGGCTCCGGAAGCAGCCCCGCCAGTTCAATCCGCAGAAATTCCCGCGCAGACTACTACCAATACACCTCTTCCAGTTTTATCATCTCCGGCGTCGTCTCCGACTCAATCGGAACCTCCCAGTCAGGTTTCAGCCGGAGCAGATGCTCCAACTCTATCTTCTCCGACAACAGCTGTGACCCATCCAGCACCATTAAGTCCGGACTTTGAAGCTACGCCGTCAGTTCAATTCGCCTCGACTAGCAGTGGATCAGCTCCAGCTCCGGCTCAAGATGAAGCTTCCACTAAAGCCGAATCAAGTGTGGTATCAATTCCTGTGGCGGCTTCGACTGAAGCAGATAATCAGACTCTGAGCCCAGCTGAAAACTCAGCTATGGCCCAAACTGATGAAGTTGGAGCCCCATCTGAAAACGGGGTGACTACCTCGCCACCCACTCAAGCTGCGGCATCAGTGGTTGCTCCTCCCACAGAAACGGAGGTGAAGGCACCGTCGGGAAATCAAGAATCCAAAGGGTTATTAGGTGGTCTTTTGGACTTTTGAGAAGTTTTAAAGATTGGAATCATTTTTTTATGTTTCAGCTGTATACAGAATTCTATCATCCCTAAATAGGGCACAAACATTTAATTAGATATATACCCTGTATTTAATATTTCATCTTTTATTTGGGTTATTAAAAACTTACTCGGTAGCATATAAAACACAAACTCCTCATTGGCTCATCCATAAGGTCTAAGGTATGGATGGACTCGGTTCGGGCCAGGCCCGGGCCGGGCCTATGCCCGGTCAGGCCTCCGGTCCTGGATTGGAGGGCCTGGAACTGGCCCGTGTAACCGCCGGGTCCGGGTCGGGCCAGGCCGGGCCTCGGGTATATTTTTTTTTGCCTTTTCCTAATTAACCCCCCCCTCACACCCAAACCACTTCAAACCACCTCAAATGATCTAATTCGATATAAAAAAACAAACGATTTTACTATTGAATTCGCAATTTAGATATAAATGGAATTATAACGCAGCGATCTTGGGTTAAAATATTGGGTTTTCCTTTATTTAAATCGTGTTTCTCCGTCACTTGTAGTTATTTATCATTCAGTTGGCAGGATTAATTTGGAGAGCAAGTAAGGATCGATCTACACGTATGCAAGACGATAGGCATTCTCTTAGCCCAATCGGAAGGATCTCACATTATAATTATCCATGACTGTTTATGTCTCTAGGGCTTCGAGAAAAATAGTATTTTCTCAATTACATGAAGCCAGTAAAAAAACAGCGCATCCATGGGCATTTGAACCCGAATACCCGAACTCGATTATTTCCCAATAATTGCTGAACCTCACAAGCCACGTTCGTTAGGATTCCTATAAAGGAAAAGGACAATTCCGCATACTACTTGTTTGAATTATTATGTTCAAACCCTTTTTGATCGTAAACAGAATAACCTCTATCCCGTCGTTTCCTAGCTCCTATATAATCAAAAAAAGTTTTTTGAATGATTGCTATTTGACTCGGACCTGTTCTAAAAAAGTCGAGTTATTTCAAATTATACGAATATGCGTTTCTTCAAAGTTCTTCCTAGATACACCTAAATTCATATTCATGAATTTTTCGATTCATTTTTGATATTTTTTAATATTTCGTATTTTGAATACAGCATCAACAAGTCCATAAGCTTTGGCTTGTGTTGGTGATAAAAAACGTCTCTTTCCATATATTCAAATATCTAGTAATCAATAATCTACGTTGTATAATAGTATATATTCAGTGAATGAATGATTGAATACTCTATGTGATTAATAATCCAATTTGAAGATTGAAGGGCATGATCTTGCTCAGGAAGGTAATGAAATTCTTCGACAGGTCTTTAGGCAGAACACCCTTACCTATTCCTACTCCTCTGCCATTCCTAGTCCGCTTATGAAATAAGAATAAAAAATTTGATTCGTCATTTCCTAAGAATTAACTTTGCGAACGCACGACTTTCGTATATCTCAAAAAGGAATGATCCTTTGGGTTTAGGATTATTTGCTAATAATGAATTAATTTGGACCACAAAAAATTCATTTTCTAAGACAAGGATTGACGAAACCCCCCCGGGTGAGGGTAGTCGAAATTCGGGACGTAGCTATGCCGTTTGAATCTGGAACATTTCTTTTTGAATTTTTTGAATCTTGAATACTCTAGTTATAATGATATTTTTTTGAAAAGATGTCTATAATGAACATTAGTTGTTCTGAATCCGTTAAATTGAAACTCGATGATAAAGTTGAGAACTCAGTCTTATTATCCCTGTCGTTGTTTATGTCTGGGATTGGAACATATTACTATAAGTCGTCCCCTTCTCACTAAATTTGCTTTATTTGCAGCCATAGTGTAACTAGCATTTGATGCGGCTGAACGAAAACTAAGTTCCCACTCACGCCCCATATAAGAAGCTACACCAAGTAAGAAGTGTATTCTTGGGATTTCACACCCTTGGACTTGAGGAAAATAAGGCCAGATCCTTTTGCAGTTTCGCATATTTTGCATTTTCTTTTTGGGTCATCTTCCATAATCATAATCCCTTTTTTCCTTTTTTAAACTAATGGGATAGAAATAAAAAATTCTAATGAAATACTACTCGACCTAAATTATGCGTGAATTTTGCTTTTGGTCCGCGTCTATGGGATCTTTTCTGTTAGTTGGGGGAACTGTTCCGGCTGAATAAACCAATTTTAAAATTTGATAACTGGCACGATAGGGCATGAGTTCTAATATAATAAGTGTTTCCTCATAGGAACGCCCACGAATTTGATCAATAACTCTTCTTGCTTTATTAGCCGACATAGCTATACGTCGACCTAAAACGTATACTTCTGGGGAGGTGCAGTATCTCGCGAATTACTTCTGAATAAATAATTCGCGAATTGCTTTATATAATGGATCATATGGTCGGACACAAATTGGGAGAATTTGCAACTACTTTAAGACTTCCTATTCAGACCTCGTGCCCGGGTTCCAAAAAAATTTAGAAACTAAGAAGGATCGACTCCAGCATTTAGAAATTGGTTAATCGGTAAAGAAATATGTACTTGATGCCCCGGAATTCGGAGGTTCGAATCCTTCCGTCCCAAACCTTTTGATTTTGTGAAGAGTTGCTTTTTGGAGAGCACAGTACGATGAAAGTAGGGGAATATTTTTTATTTTTCGTTGGGGATTCCCTGGAATAAATCGTCCATATTGATTGCTCCTCAATACAATTTCTTTCAAATTCATTAAAATCCGGCAACTCGAATAAAGAAACGCATGTGAAGTGTACTTATAATGGTATTCCGTTAGCTGACAAAAAATTTCCGGAAAATTGGTTGACAGAAGGTATTCAAATCAAAATTTTATAGAGGATTACACGACATAAGGAATTGTTAAATTGAATAAAAACTTTGATGAGAATTAGCACTAGTTTGATGTAATGGCAGAAATAAATAATAGAAAAATAGCTCCAGTAATCCAATGTGGAGACAAGGTATGTTTGTAATACCCTTTATGACTCGGTTAGGAATAACCATTTTTGTCTTTCTCCGCAACCAATCTCTTCATTTCAAAGCAATCAAAAAAATAAAAATTATGTACAAAAAAATAGAATCAAACCCTCGGTGAAAAATTCGTAGGTTTCACGCCTTTTCGAGGTTAATATTATTGAATAAACTTTCGGATTGCCTAGTATCTATTTAAAATAGAATAAAGGAGCAATTCCGCCTTCTTGTCAAAAAGCAACTCTTCTCAAAATCTAACTAAAAAAAACGCTGACTCAGATTTAAAAAATGCTTAATGGTAAAATATATATCGAGGAGCGATTTATCAAAAAAAACTGTCTTTGTCCGTTTGTTGGATCCCAAAGATTCTTTTTTAGGTTTTCCTTGAGAGTTCCAATAGGGGAGTCGGGCGGAGTGCTCAACTACCCAAGCTTATCGCCAAATGTCTCTTCTATTACGTAGACCACCTGGTCACGAAGCTTACCCAGGAGATGTCTTTTATTTGCAGTCTTCTTTTATTTTGTCCAATAGAATTCCACCGAAGCCCGTTTACTTATGTTTTCTCATATGAATGCTTTATTTTTTATTTCATTTGATATTCTTGATTATTAACCTTAGGCACAAATATTTTTGGTTCTGAAAAAAAAAAACAGTTTGAAAAAGTTCAATTCAGAATCAGATCCTTCCAAGTCCGGTAGTTTATTTAGATACGTTTTTCAAATTCGAAGTTGAATTGAAAGATTCATGTTTGGTTCGGGAAGGAGTTTTTATCCATTAAGCGGAGAAAATCCTAAAAAAAAATTAGGACAGTTTTTACAATGCAAGAAAGTTACGCAGGCTCGAACCCGCAGCCAGGCATGGACCCGGTTTGGGCCGCCCGGCCCGGGACCGGCCCGGCCCGCCACTGTGCGGGCCCGGAACCGGCCCGGTTCTCGGGTCCGGGTCCGGGTCGGGCCTAGGCCCGGTGGGGGGGGGCGGGTCCGGGCTCGGGCCTTGTATTTGGCGAACCGGCCCGGCCGGGTCAGGCCCGGGCCTGGGCCGAATTGATTTTTTTTTATTTATTTTTTTCATTTTTTGGGGTTAGCCGGGTTGGGCTTGATGGTTAGGAGGGGTTTGGGGGTTTGGGGGGGTGGGGGGGTGAGTGGGGGGGTTAGGAAAGCAAAAAAAAAAAAATTATGACCGAACCGGAGGCCCACCCCGGCCCAGCCCGGACCCGGACCGGACCCGGTGGCTACCCGGGCCGGTCCAGGGCCTTCCTTCCCAAAAAAAAGCCCGGCCGGGCCCGGCCCGGAACCAGCCCGGCCCGGGTCCATGACTACCCGCAGCTTCCGCCTTGACAGGGCATTATTAAAAAAAAAGATAGCGTCAACATTTTTACGGGCCGGTTCACATTTTGAGGGGCCCGAGCCCGGACCGGAACCACCTCGGGTCGGGCCTACCCGGACCGGTCCATGACCAGGCCACCGGGCCGGGCCGGAACAGTGGCGGGCCGGGCCGGTTCCGGGTCAGGCCACCCGGCCCAAGTCCACCCATAGTCTAAGCCCTAAGGCCTCTAAAACGGCCTAAAGGATTTCATCTCAAATTTTGGTTTGATTTCATGAAATCAGAATGTTTTATTATGACACTTTCTTCCAATCACAACTCACAAGCGCTCTTGATAACAAACTCCTCAATCCTCATCATTCAAGACTTAAGGGTTGTCAATTTTTTTACCTAAACAATGTAACTAAAATGTAGAGGCAAATTGCTTATTAGATGAGGCCCCATTCACCATAGTATGATTGTGTGAACTGTAACAACAAAATTTAAGAGACACAATTGGGTATATAAGTAAATTTAAGATCCAAAATTTTACACCTCAAAAAGTTTGAAATCAACTAAGCACTAGAGTGAAACAATTCACACTAATGATAGATGATATCTTGCAAAATCCCAATACCAGAGTGCAAATGATATTTCTTTTGCCTCACAACAATAAAATTAAGCCTTGTATCCCCTGCTATTTCTTTTGCCTCTTGCTTTCTCAAATTTCCTCCCCTTGGCACGGACATAAGGCTTGGTGTGACTGTGTGGAACACCTGGAGCTGGGCCGAAGTGTTTAACTGCTTCACGAGAATTTTTAGGACCTCTCAGCAGAACCTGTGAAACCCAACAAAGATACTTGACAAAAAGTAGAGGCTAGCTAATATGTTTCCATTTATCAAGGCACTTATGTCCCATTAGGAGTCCTGCTTGACCTATGAAAACCTTTTTATTTGGGACAATGAACTATTGAATCATACAGTACTAATATTTTACAACCTTTCTGGTGGTTTACCCAACTGTCATACAGAGGTTAAACTTTCTTGTGGATACATTATGTTACTTCATAATCTTATTTAATTGTAATAATAGAATAAAAAGGGACTCCTTTTTTGGAAGAAAAAATACGCTTAATAATTAGAACTTGGGATGGAACAGGTAACACATGTGCAGGTCTAGTTATGAAATGCAATGCAGCATTTTCAGAAGGAACAAAATCTGAAAGAAACATGCACCTTAAGTAAAATCAAAGGTTATGCAAGGCAACCACATTCGCATTGATCACATAGGTTGAAATGATTGAATCAACAAAGTCAGATAACGGTATAAAAGTGTAATTATGTCTGCATCAAGTAAGATAGCCATGGTAGGTATTATATTATTTACCGTGTTCTGTCCTAAAGGAGCACGAAGAGCTAACTGATCAAAAGTCAAACATTCACCGCCTGCCTTCTCTATTCTGGCCCTTGCAGTTTTGGTGAACTTCAGAGCACAAACCTTTATTGCGGGGACATCATAAGCTCTTAAATCATCGGTAATAGTGCCAACTAACACAGCAATCTTGTCCTCCTATAGGGACAAACCATAAATCAACACAATATTGAGGAAGCTATAGAGAAGCACAGGAAATTGCATATAAATGCAACCATTATATTAACATACAAGCTACAACGATAATACCTTTCCGTTCATGAAGGAAATGAGCCTGGAGAGAGAAAGCGGAGGCTTGTTGATCTTGCTCATAAACAGACGCTTCAGGATGACGGCATCGAACTGACTTCCGGTTCTTCTCACCAAAAATCGGTAAAGCTGTAAGAACAACCCGCTGATTCAGAACTACACACACAACATACATATGCATACAAAGACAAACATGCAAATAGGAACATGCATATTTTACAGGGATGAACACATAAACATTCCAAAACACATAGAAATGAATTACATAGGTCGAATCACACCTTCACAAGGAGTCTCAAGTAAATGTCGTCGGACTTCGGAGCTGTGCGTTTCGTCTTCTTGCTTTTGCCACCCGCTTCCAGATCAATACCCTACACAAAAAACAATGGCAGGTAGTCAGTCACAGGTCGATGAACGAATCGAAGAGGATCGAGGAAGAGAAGACGGAGCTGTACCATGGTCGGTTGTGAACTCTGCGAATGAAATTGAAAAGATGTTAGGGTTTAAGATTTTAGTCAGATTACAGTGGACAGCGGGCCGCCTTTTGGCCCATTCGAAATGGATTAAAGCAGGTAGGCAAATATCACCAAAAAAAGCAGGTAGGCAAATATTCTCGAATGTAATTAATCCATTCTTAATGTAAATACTCCCTCTGTCCGTCCCTTAAAAGTTTGCCAAGTTTGATTGGCTCGTCGATTAATAAAGTAAAAGTAGTGTGATTAAGGTTTGTGAAGAGAAAGAATTAACTGGAACCACAAATTATTTACTTAAAAAGGAAAGTGACAAATTTAGTGGGACATCCAAAAAAGGAAAGTCGACAAAGTTTTAAGGGACGGGGGAGTACTACATACGGAGTACTTATTTATTTGAATACATTTTGTTACTTCATGAACTTATTTATTTGTATTCATTCTCAAAATCTGATTGTAGGACTTTTCTTGAGTCTAGATGGAGTCTGTTGTTAGATCTTGAGTTTTTCGCTGATTGTAACTCCAAATTATTAGTTAAATTAATATAGTTTGACGTTTTTTTCAAAAAAAAAAAACTTAATTACATCAAATTAAAAGTTAATACACCTCATTCATTGTTCAAAAGTTATACCACTCCGGTAAGAAAGCAATCATTACAAATCGTCGGGCTAACCCAATAGGAAAGCCCGTCCACTATGGTCCTATCAACGGTTGACATGTGGCGCCACTCCCAACGGTCACTTAACCAACTAGGCATGATGCCATGGAGGATTTATCCCTTTGCTCTTGTGACAGCTCACAACAGGACCCCCCCCTCCCCGTCCATATACTCCTGCTACCACAACAGACCCAATTGCCTCAACTAGCTCAGACAAACAAGTCGAGTACCTCTAAGGTACAAGCCCGAGGGCGGTAGCCGATGACAACTCACACAAAGGCCATCTTACATGCTTGATACGGGATATCCCGTCTCGTGGTGAGCCCTCAGGAAAGAGCCTTCAAGGACCGTGGGCAAAACCCTCAACTCTAACCTAGAGAACTTTCGGTCGGCTTCTTCGAGCACTCAATCACAACATTTAATGCTCTGCCACGTGCCCGCATCTGCCTCACATCGATGCTCTCAGTCATAGACTAACTTGCATGTGTATGTCATTTAATGTTAGCATTTATGATTGGTATAAATAGCCGGTCTTTGGGCGGATTTAGGTAGATTTAACAGTTCGAAAACCATTAATACAATTGTTTTCTCTCTCTAACTTCATAGCTCTTCTTTCTCTCTACATATCGCTAGTGGTATCCCGATTTAGCTATTTATCCAGATGGCTATGGAGCGATCTTTCTTATCCTACTAAGGAAAGTGGTTTGGGTTTTAAGGACCCATTTACTATTCAAAATTGTTTCTATCTCAAACGTTGGTGGAAAGCTGCTCATTAAAACAAGTTTATGGGGATTATGGTTCTCCAAATTTAAGAACCCACTCCTCTCTTATCTCTCGAAAGGTCTGAGGAAGGACAAGAACACCTTTGACAAATTTAACTACTCTGGCGGTTTGTAAGGGTAATTCTTCTTTCTGAAATTCCAATTGGATTGATTTTGATAGGTTGTTGGATTAAGCTAGATGAAAATCTTTTGCACCCTCAAGTGGCTATAAGTGAAGCTTTTATTCACCCTACTTTTTTCTATGGCATTCAGTCTCTTTTGCTTGATTATATCCTGCCAGAATGTTACTTCTTTTAAGCACCATTTATATGTGCACTATGATGAAACTGGATCCAAAAGAATAATTGACAATTTTAATAAGCACATTTGGAGCACGAATATCCCTAGCAAAATCTCTTTTCTTGTTTGGAAGGTTATTAATAATCTCGAACTCTCCCAAGAGCTGATGCATGAGTTTGATAGTAATGGCGCCTTTAAATCCCCTTTTGTAATACTTGTGAAACTAGGGACCATTGCTACACTACTTGTGATTTCAGTTATATATAATTTGTGATTCCATTATAGAAATACTTTTAAAATTGTGAACTATAACACTGATAATTTAAATCTATGCTCCAAATTTGGGACAAAGAGAGCAATGTATAATATTTAATGAAATAATATAATTCCAAATAAATTACTACCTTTGCCCTAGTATGGTAGAAAAGAAGGATGTGTGGTTGCTAAAAACAATGAGTTTGTGTGACTGATATTCATTGATTAAGTGAGAATAAAATAAGAATGATTTAGAATCACACAAAAAAATTGGTATGAGATAATCTGAGTGAGGAAAACTAAAATGAAAAATGAGACAATTTAAGTGGAACAAAGAGAGTATCAAATATTGGACAAAAATGTGATTTAGTAACTTTAGTCACTATAATTATGTTTAATATTACATCATAAGGACTATAAAATTATGTTCATAGCCACGTTATTCACATTTTACACATAAACATTATTACAATTATATTTTTGGAAACCTCCTTTTTCAATTCTAAAAAAATATATTCATTAATAGGTTTGTTAATGGTTGCACTAGTAGCAAGTGCAACAAGACTTTATTATTGCAGGGTTAGCGATTTGGAAAAATCCGTGAAACCTTTTTCATTCTATTTTTCACCCCATTACATCTTTCAGTTATTCATTCACTTGTTTCTTTGATGTGTTTTAATTTATAAATAAGTTTATCTTAAAATCTTATAATCCTCAATGAGGGTTAGGGCATTTTAGGGCTGAAAATAATGTTGGTGTAATCACTTGCTTTATTAAGTTGTGCATTGTGTTTTACCATCTGTACTCTTTTAAGAAAATTAACTTTTCCGTTTAAATCCTGTGAACAGCTGCCGTCTGTGGCAACTGAACCCTGGCTGTTACGCAAGGAAGCGTAACTTGATGAGCAGCGATACAACTTCCGATTGTTTCGAATCAGCGCCCCTAACCACACCGCTCTACCTCCCATCGTTTCCCTCCTCAAGCCCAACTATTCAGGTCAGTTTCCATGTCGTTTCCCCGATTTTTACCAAGATATCAATTTATTATACTCAGTCTGACTACTGTTTGGTATTCTGTGTGAATTTTCAGCTAATAGTGAACTACTTTAACATTGAATTCTTACAAATATAGAATTAATATGAACTTTCCCATTTTTGAATATTGTTGTGGCCTCTTGTAGTTACGAAGTATTAGTTATTATAAAAGATAAATGTAAAGAGATAAATGTAAACTTAGATAAAGATATTCGAAAATATTGGGAGCTGAATGTAAGGAAATCATATTCTATTGGGGAATGTGGATACAAATTTACATGCAAGAAAAGTATGCTTGAATCACTTACGGTTGCTATGATTCTCCCTTGCCTTTTTTTTTTGCAGTGAGTGGATTTTTCATTTCTGGAAATGCAAATGTATATTTTGTCCTAACCTGATTAAGATTTCTACTTGATGCATTTAAAAATCTTTCTTTTATCCAGGCAATGTTATTCTTTTTTCATTTCTTTGTCTTTAGGTGCATGTGTACTTTCCAATTTTTTAACAAATACTCAACTGACTCTTATTCTTAATTTAAGAGTGTTTCAATTGTATTTATAATTTACATTCTGGATCATCTTTCATTATAATTATTAGATGCTGCATTTATAGTTCACTTCATGCCTCCTTTTGGTTCCATGATAACAAGCAACAAGAGGAAGTGTAAGGTCTGAGTTAGTCTACTATCTGCTGTGCAATTTTTTCTTTCTTTTTGCTTGTACTAATGCAGTAGATGAATGAAAAGAGATCATATTCATTTGGGGAATGTTACTTGCAATTTTAGGGTACTTATTGCATTCTTTTATATTTCCTTAGTTATTTGGCAAATTGTTTTGACTGGGTATGAGTACTTTCATCTGTGTGGCAGTAAACTTTAGGCCAAGCCTTCTTTTTCCATTTTTATAGACAGATTCAATTAGAGTTAGTTTTGGATTGTGATCCTGTTTTGTTTATTTAGGGGGTAATACTTCAGAATCTTGATACTCGACTTAGATCTTTAGTTTTTAAAGGGAAGTGATGGTAAGCAGATGTGGAAGCACATAAGATGATTTTAGTTTTCCTTATTACGTTCGTTTCTAAATTAACAAAAAATGAACACAGATTAAACCTTATGAAGGTTAAGTTTTCAACCTTCGATAATCAGTTCATACGAGTAGAAAGACTCAACCGGGATGATAAACCAAATGAACAATTAAAAGAGTGTTAAACAATGTAATAATTTGTAGTCATATATTATTATGAAATATATTACTCACATGCTATTTTTGGATATTTATTTTCAGATCTACAGTTTTCATATTTCATATTAATGAAGTCTTTATTTAGTTTTTCCTCAAATTGAGTGCTTAATTACTTATGCTATTTGTAACAGTAAGGAGCAACCAAGCAATATAAAGGAGCCCAAGGCACCACTCTCTTGGGCAGTGAAAAGTTTTAATGCACAATATTCCGTGCTAAATATGTACCGTGTATTGTACATAAAATGCAATACATTTGTTGCCCTAGGTGGTGGAGTTATTGGTGACATATGTGGATATGCTGCTGCTTCTTATCTCCGCGGAGTTAATTTTATTCAGATTTCCACAACTTTTATGTCGCAGCTAGACTCCTCCATGGGAGGAAAACTGGAATAAACCACCCGCTTGGCAAACACATGATTGGTGCCTTCTACCTACCTCAATATGTGCTTATAGCAACAGATACCCTGAATACACTGCCAGACAGTGAACTAGCATCTGGCCTAGCAAAATTTATAAAATATGGTCTTCTGAGAGATACCACATTTATTGAATGGCAAGAGCAAAATATGTCAGCATTGCTTATGCTATCAAGCATTCATGTGAAAACAAGGCCGAAGTAGTGTTTGTTAGAAGTGTTTACAATTGGAATGCGTTGCTTAGAGGAAATGTGGTATTGGTTTTCCGTAAATATCATGAGGCAATCGACATGTTTTCTGAAAAGCGGGGTTTGGGAGTAGAATTGAATGGGTATAGTTTCTCCTGTTTGATCAAGAGTCTTGCTGGGTCCTCTGCACTTCTACATGGTTTGAAAGTTCATGTACTTCTGGTGAAGAATGGCTTTCTGGGTAGTAATGTAATTACAACTAGCTTGATGGATATGTATTTCAAATGTGG